TGCCTGTGATCGTTACGATATTACTGTTTTCTGTCAGCTGTGAGTCTGCTCACAGCAGTAAACTGCTTGGATGGCGTAGGTTTCGTACGGTGGGTCGGTCGGTCACTGCCCAAGGTGCGAGACGGTGTGTTTCATGGCCAATCGGCGTACATATGAGACAGACGTTCCAAGAAACATTCACGGCCGAACAGAGAACGACAGAGGACCCAGACGGGCATGTAGAAGAGAACACAGGCAACACCATGACAAACACGTACAAAAAAACGTAAGGACACGCAACAGAAAGCATCGATTGTCAACAAGCCAAGACACCGAAGCATCTGGACATGCACATCGTATCAAATCACACGCAAAAAGGCGAGAACCTATCACCTGCACACAAACGCCACACACACACACACATCCACACACACCTCCCACACAGCGACGCCCCTCTCTCTCTCTCTCTCTCTTCTCTGTATGCAGAGTTCAGCGACGCCATCGACGCAAACGACAAGGACGCCGTCCAGCTGTGGGCTGCTCTCGCCAAGGCTGATGACCAGTCGGCTCTGGGCAAGCTCCTCAAGAGCGTGGCCCCCAACAAACTCGACATCAAGAAGGCCAAGGAGATCAAGAAGAAGCTGGACAAGAAGTGATTCCACACACACACACATATCTCCTCCCCGGTCATTTTGTGTTGACGCCCTGACCTGCCATCGTTTTAGTCTGCACCTCCCGGCCACACCATACCTGCTCTGCCTCTTCATGCTTGCTCGTGCTGCGCTGTGCTGTGCTGTGCTTTGCTGTGCTGTGCTGTCTGCTCGTCCTCGTGCCTGTTTCATGCTGCGTGCGTTCTCTGCCTGTGTTCTGCCTGTTCGTGTTCGTGCCTGCTTCACCACACCACACACACACACACAACTGCATGACCTGTGATGCGCCGTGCCTTTTCTTTATTCAAGCCACTCACTCACCTTCATGCTGTTCCATGATGGGATGCTTCATGTATGTGGACACACCTCCCCATTCTCCTTAACAGCGCTGTCACCTGTGGGGGTCGTGCATCGCGCTCAGCTCGCTGGGCGCCTTACTTGTTACGGGGGGAGCGGTTTCACAGAATGTCCTAAGCGGCCTGACGGCCAAGTCCCATGTCTTTCACGCACAGTCAAACGACGACACGCAACAGGAATCACCCACGCGCCTTACTTGTTACAAATTGCAAGCTCAAAAAGGAGAGGTGCCCAAGGAGTTCTTAGCTCGAGCTGATTGGTGTGCGGCGATGAAGGAGCTCGATAGGCCTGTCACCCTCCATACCGATGGCAGCGGGTGGAACAAGAAGGCGAAGCAAGTGAGCATCACCGCCTTTGACCTGTGTGCGCCAATTCATCGCACAGCACGCGGCGGGATGGGGATGAATGGCCCGTCAAGATAGATCTGGTGTGTTTTGTGCTTTTTGCAGTTGGTGCGTGGGACGACGAGGACGGCAATGAGGCCAATTGCGGCGATTTCAAAGTCTTCTTCGAAACACAGAAGGGTAGGTAGTGGACACGTGTGCGTGCATGTCCATGGATCTGACGGCATGGCGTATGTGCGTCCGCGCGTGCGCCAGGCAAGCTCGGCACGTGGGATGTGGAGAAGCACGGCCTCATCTACAACGGTGGGCATGCGTGGGCGGGGTAGCGTGGGCAGGGGGGAGGGGAGGGATCCAGCCACATACAGAGAGAGAGAGCATGGATTGGATGGATGGATGCAGACAACCGTTTCCTGAAGGAGTTGAAGGCGTTTGTGACGAAGTTGATGGGCTCGGCGGCTGCCAACGACATCGACTACAGCGAGTCGGGCATGCAGGGTCAGCGGATGACTTCACACGGACGCCAGCATTGCATTGTGTATGCGTGTGCTGGGTGTGCAGGGGACGAGTTTGTGAGTCTGGATGCTGGCAAGGACTTCATCAAGGCATACCAGAAGTGGGAGGCCGGGGAGGCGGCCAGTAAGACCACTGGCACGTGAGGAGAGGGAAGGAGGGAATGGACTGTACATAAGGGAAGCCGTAGCCAGAGCTATCTGCCATATGGATGGGAGGGCCGCCGGCTGCACCGGGGTGGCTGTCGTCCTTTGTTAGCTCCAATGTGCAGTCAAGACAATTTTGCAGTGTGTGAGGTGTGGTGTGTCTGAGCGTGTGTCGTATGTGCCTGCCCCCGACAGTCGACACATTGCGAGTACTGCCTGCATAAGCAAAACACGTGAGTGACAAGACCTCCGCCCCCTTTCTGGCTGTGAATGCATTCGTGCTGCAAATGAAGGCGTTACACGGAAAATGGAGGGGGCCTTGGGGGCGAGCTCGCGCGTCTTTCCTCCGCAACGAATTTGAATGCCTTGCGGGTGTGACGGATAGACTCTCTTAAATCCTCCCCATCCATCGCTGCATTGTATCGATACCATTCACGGCCGGCGCCAGGCAGCCCTCCTCCTCACGCGAAGAGAGAGGTTAGAGCTCTATGGCGGGCAAGTCGTCGGCCATATCGTCGATTCTCCACTTGGCGAAGGGTGAGAGGCGGGGTGTCAACACCTCTATCCTCGATGGCAGCGGGCTGCGGCTGGGGCAGGAGAGGAGGAACTTCAACGCCTACATGGTCTATGAGTCACAGGTGGGCGAGGGCATGGACACCCGCACCAAGCAAGGCAACACACACGTGTGACGTGCATGCATGGCACCGATAAGCCACATCTATCAACCATGAGTATGCGTGTGTTTCTGGCCCCGTGCGTCGTGGCTGCAGATGCGGAGGATTCTCCTCCGTTTGAAGGTGTTCCTCATCGGCTATTCCATCTGCGTGGTCGCCATCGCCCTTGGCTGCGGCATCAAGGTGGTGCTGGACTCACAAGTACAGAGAGACGCCACTCAGGCCTTCGAACGGTCATACGACCACTACTACGCCGCCTCTAATCTGCTCTCTAAGGGCCACGCCACGCACTTCAAGCTCATATCCACTTCCCCTCCCGAAGCACCGGCTGAGATGGCTGCCTTCTCCCTGCAGCTGCAGCGATTCAAGCAATTGGGGAGCCCGGCGGGGGAGGTGAGAGATTATGGGCAGGAGGGGGCGGCCGACAAGCTCAAGAAGGCCGATCCGTACCGGCAGCAGATGATCACCGTTGGCGAGGAGGTCCTGGTCATCTTCACCGCCACAAGTGGCGTCAACGATACATTTGGGGACGTGCGGCTGTCTCGCCAGAAGCTCGAGGAGATGGTGGCGGCGCAGACGTCTTATGAGAGCATTGTGAGCGGTGTAATAGCCGATTTGAAGGACGAGCTGGACGAGCGGTGGGAGACAATGGTGTCCCTGCCCATCGTCATGGTCTCTGTCCTGGGGGCACTCTCTGTCATATGCGCGCTGCCGCTATTCGGACTCTCAGGTGCGTCGATGAGACACGCACCAAGGAATGGGAAACACACACACGCTCGATTTCTGTCTCCTCTCTTCTGTGTTGCGACTGACTGGTACACATGCAGGTTATCTGTCCAACCTCTTCAACACGGCCTGGACGGTGGCCCAGCGGTCCGATGAGGAGCTGTCCCGAAAGCTCAAGAATCTCTACACCGTCGCCCACCTGGTGCTCACCGAGCGACTCCTCTCTCGCCTCATCGTCTGCGCAGGGGCGACGGCCCTCATCCACTCGGCATTCACCTGCCTCACCTCTCGAGAAGCGTCGCCCGGACCAGACGGAGAGAGAGGAAAGGACGCAAAGGGCAAGAGAAAGAGGGTTCCGACGGCGAAGCGACGTGCGGTGATAGGGAAGCTGATTCGGATGCTGGAGAACAACATGCGGTATCTGCTGAGGTCGGTGCACTCGGCCGACGAGTACCTGATGGCGGAGGCCGATGTCATGGAAGTGAGCGGAGTCGGGAAGGAAGGAATGGATCATAGAAGGGAAAACTCTCTTTGTGTTCTCAGCTTCATGCAGAGCACCTGGACCTGAGGTCATGCGTTGAGGAGTGCATCGAAGTAAATAGGAGACGCCATATAAGATATGGATGTCAACAACCGAATCGTCCTTATCTGTCGTTCGCAGATATTCTACAATCGTGCAGCAGCCAAGGGCATTACTCTGTCCTGCACCTTCGGCCCCGGAGTGCCCTCTACCATCATAGCCGACGAAGGCAAACTCAGGCAAATACTCATCAAGGTCCGCCCGAAACTCCCATGCCCCGCACCCACACATCACACCGATATCTCTCTGGTCCATTTCTTTCTCAGCTGCTGTCCGGTGCCGTGGAGAACACCAATTCCGGCGGCGTAGACGTGTTTGTGGTGGTCAAGACAATTTTGCCCCTCGACACGAGCGCCGATATTACCTCACGCCGGCCGTCGGCACTGGGCGGCTTTGGGTCCATCTTCGGCGGGTTCGACCTCGGCAGGGTCCTAGGGCTGCCCGTGTCGCTCTTCACCATGCCCCGTGCGGGCCAGAAGAAGCTGCTCGAGACGGGTCGGCTGCTCAACTACGTGATCCAGTTTGAAGTCAAGGACACGGGCGAGGGGCTGCAGGACGCATCCGACATACTCGACCCAATGAGCCTCAAGCACAAGTACGTGTGTGTGGGCAGGAATGCAGAGCAGACAGAGGCATGTGGAGAGACAAGAGAAGGAAATGCTCGGTGTGTTCTGTGTGCGTGTATCTATGTGTAGGGCTGGTGAGGGTCTGCGGCTGTTGGTGGCTGGCAAGATGGCCCAGGTGATGGGCGGACAAATGGAGATCCTCTCCATACCCAGCAAGGGCACCATCACCAAGTCAGCAAACGGAAAAGGACGAGAGAGATAGATGGCTTGGCGAGCATGGTATTCTTTGTCTGTCTGTCAGTTTTTCGATCTCGGCCCAGGGTCGGTTCCAGCCCTCCGACTTCCACCCAGACCTTCCCACACTCCTCAACTTCGGCAAAGTGCCTCTGGTGCGGACGAAATAAAGCAAAGAGAAGAGGCAGCCATCTATCTCTTTCTTTGCACATGTCTCTGACATTCATGTGTACTTGTGTCAGTTGGTGACTCTGGGTCTGACGCCCTCATCCAAGGGCTACTTGACAAGCCTCTGTCAGGACCTGGGCCTCAACTGCCAGCACGCGGCGTGCGTCAACGAACTGCTCACCATCAGCGTCAAGGCAAAGAAAGATCCCCCCTCCGGAGAGCGCGTGGGCATGTGTCTCCATTTCTGGCTGGTTCAGGGTTACTTGTGTTGCGTGTTCATCGGGGATGTGGTTCAATACAAGGAGGGCCAGCCCGCCGACATCCTGGACATCCTGCAGTCCCACCTGCAAAAGCACCAGCAGCTGAACAGATTGGGCACCAAAGACATGACGGTCGGCCGGGAAGCCAGCATACCCATCCTCAGGAAACAGGAGTCCATGCAGCTCTCCCAAAACACCGAATTCTCCAGGGTCATACTCTTCTCAAGGGTCAGTCAGATCAACGCCCCCCTTGCACCCTCCCCATCATCCTCCCAATACCAACACACACACACATGACTCCCCCTTGTCTCTTGCAGGAGTCAGCCTTGATTCAGGCAGGTGGTCAGCGCAGCTCAGTCATCGGCGCGTCTCTGTCCTACCCCGCCCGCGCCCCGTCGGCGAGCAGCGCCAACCTTTCTCCAGTTGCGACCAACGGCAAGGCTCAGGCGCAGCTGCCGCTGCCCCCACGGGCACCGTCGGGCGACTACGTGTACCGCGACCCCAATATGATCCCGAGCCCGCGGGAGAGCCCCATGCCGATGCACATCGACACCGAGGTGGCGGCCGCCAGGGTGCCTTCCAGGACAGGCAGCGTCAGACCCTCAATGGCCACCGTGTTCAACCCTGAGGAGGTCGTGTGGTAACAAAAAGTGGTCTTGCGTGTCTGTCTGACGACCGATGGCTGGTCTGGTCTTTGTTGTGGTTGCTGGTTGTGCGCTTTGTAGGACGACGGAGCCGCTGCGGACAAAAGAGGTCATTGCGCTCATCATCAACGGATTCAAACCTGAAGTGTACGCACCCACCACGCACTCTGCACCCCGCACTCTCCCTGGCCCTCTGTCTGTCCATCAGCTGGGCTGAGGCGGCCGCCTCGCCCAAGAAGGGCGGCGACAAGAACCACAAGATTGCACCCAACAACGGCCTCCCCACCACCTTCGCAGACATCACAGCCGGCGGACAGGCGATGGAGGTCGTCGGCTCACCCAAGAGCGTCAGCTCATCGGGGAGGAGCCCACGCTCGCCCACCCACGGGGCCAAAGGGGTGATGGCTCAGGTGCAGCGGCTGTCCAAGGTGGAGCTGCTGGAGCTGGAGGACGAGACGGCGGCGAGGGTATTCGGCTCGCTCCTCACCCATGGATACCCCAGACACCTGGTGCCCTACCTCAATCTTGTCATCAAGTGAGGCAGCCAGTGGGCGGGGTGTCACGATATGATCTTCTGACTTGTGTCTCCGTCGGTGTGCGCGTCAGGTCATTGAACGACACCTCTTGGCGGGCGAGTGCTGGCACCATCAACAGCGTCTGCTGCTCACAGGTCCGCCGTCCGCGCGCCAGTGCACCTCCCACCCCACGGGCATCCTGTCCTTGCTGCGTGTTCGCAGGCCAAGTTCGTGCCGTTCATTCCGGAGGAGGCGCTGCACCGTGAGGCGATAGAGGAGCTGGAGCACTATTACAGCGAGAAGGACAAGGGTGGCAGCCGTGACCTCGACGACATGTCCCAGTACGAGGATGTCGATGAGGATGCCGACGAAGAGGCCGAGGAGTCGCCTGCCAGCCAGACCGACCCCACAGAAAAAGACGACACCGCACTCCAGCAGCAGCAGCACCAAGAGCCGCCTGAAGAAGAGCAGGAGTCCATTGAAAGAGACACAAGAAGTCGAGCTTCGTTCATGCTGTCCCGGTCGCGAAGACAGTCGCGTGCGTCGTTTCTGGGTACGGAGGATGACGGCACGACGACGCCGAGGTTCACCTGTACCAAGTATGAGGGCAAGATGCACGCGGCGCCAGTGCAGCCTGAGGAGGTGGGCGTGAGCCCCAAGCTGATGGCACGGATGAACTCGCCAAGCGTGACCAAACCTGCACGGCCGTCATCGGCTGCAGTGACGGTGAGCCAGAAATGAAGGAGAGCCGTGTGACTGACTGAAAGGGAGAACATGTATATGGATCCATGGGTACCCGTGTGTGGTGTGTAGTCTGTGTTGGAGATGGGTGGCGAATCGCTGGAGGAGTTCCTCAAGTGGGAGTGCGACATTCTCAGCTGGCCACTCGAAAAGACCGCCAGGACTGTGAGGTACGTCAATGCATTAAATGGCCTGACACGAACCAATTTTTTAATGACACACACGCACATGTCTCACTTTCTCTGTCACACCCTCATGCTTCAGGCTCTTGCTGACGTCATTCAGGTAAGCTAAGCCGGCCTCTGCACTGCCACACATGACTTTTTATGTGTATTGTGTGTCTGCATTACCTGCCTGCAGTGAGGAGGGTGGTTTGAAGACGAGCCGTTCGACGATCAGTTCGTTTGTGGCGACGATGGTGCACAACTACCACCACTCAAACTACTACCATAACTTCTGGCATGGCGTCTCAGTCGCGCAGGTAGGGATGTGAGTGAGACACAGACACACAAGTGTTTGGTGATTGAATGCGGCGGGTTGAACGAACAGGTGATGGCGATGTTTCTGACTGCTAGTGACCTCCGGCCGATCTATAACGGCGTCGACAAGTTCGCACTCGCCATCGCTTGTATGGTCAATGGCAATGGCACTCACTCAGCACATAGCAAAGGGACGCGGCGTGACATGACGTGTCTCTCTCCCTCCCTCCCTGCTGCGGATTTTCAGCGTTGGGTCACGACACTGACCATCCCGGGGTGTCCAATCGCTACCTCACAAGTGCTTGCAGGTAGGTACCGAGAGGGTTGCAATCATTGCAATGATGGCAACCCGAGAGAGAGACAATGGCTGAGTTGTCCTGTGTGTGCAGTTTTGTGGCTCGTCTGTACAATGATGCCTCGGTGCTCGAGAACCACCACTCGGCCCTCCTGTTTGAAGTGCTCGCGTAGGCAACCACACCACACCACACCACACACCCCCGTACCTACCGTGCTTTGCCTTGGCTGCATGGCTGCTTCTTGAATTGCGTGATGGCAGTCGCGAGGAGTCCGACGTGTTCAATGCGTTGCGCGACAACAGCCACGCCCCTTTGCACTCGCGAGTGGGGAGCGGCGACAAGGGCGGCAGCACCGTGATGGTCACCTGGCCGATGCTCAGGAAACGAATCGTCAACGCCATCCTCGCAACAGACATGGCCAAACACTTCGACATCGTCAAAGACCTCAAGGAAATCAAAGCTGCCGTAAGACAGTCAGACACACACTATGAGACAGACAGACGGCCGCGTGCACTTGTGGTGTGTCTGTCCATGTGTGTGTGTGTGTGTGTGTGTGTGTTTAGGAGATGCGTGGCGAGGAGGGTCGTCCGACGATCACTGGCGTCAGTGACGTCTACCAGCTGTATGAAATGTCGCTGATGCACGCAGCCGACATCTCCAACCCAACACTGCCCTTCTACCTATACCGGGAATGGGCCGTGAGAATCGTTGCTGAGTTCCACGCACAGGTTCGCACGCGCCATCAAACACACACGTGCCTCGTGAATGTGCGTGTCAATCAATGGGTGTGTGTGTGTGTGTGATAGAATTTGCTGGAGGCTGGTGAGCATCTGCCGGTGTCGATGCCGATGGTCAAGGGCATCACTGAGCTCGACGTCGCCAACTCACAAGTCGGATTCATCGGTAGGTACACATCACATCGGACAGACAGACAGACAGACACTCACACACCACACCTACAAAGAGACAGAGAGAGCACCGAGAGCTCTGTGGATCAGATCACGTCTCACTCACTCATTTGACTTACTTCAGATTTCATCTGTCTGCCGTTATTCTCGGCGCTGACTGCCATCTTCCCCGTCGGCCTCACACCCAGACTCGCACTCATGGAGGAAAACAGGTATGTGGGTGTATGATTCACAACAGGCAGGCGCACGCTCTTTCGTGTCTCATCTCTCAATGAAAGGATTCATGACGCCATCACGCCAACAGGGACCGTTGGAAGCAGATTCGCGATAACCTGGCGGCCACACAGAAGACATTCAAGCACCGCACTAGCACCGAACACCACCAACAGCCACAGCCACAGCCACAACTACAACAGCAGCAGCAGTCGGCGTCCCCCCGCCAGTCCAAGGTTCACATCCCCCCACCCACAGCACCGGAACCCTCGCCCTCGCCGCCACCACAGCCGGCGCAGGAGGCGCCACTCACTCTGCCGCTCAACACGCCCGAGCAGCCGTCGGATGCTGCCGCAGAGGACGAGAGCGAGACACGTCATCAAGAGGAGCCAAATGAAGGTCATGAGCCAGGGGGTGAGGGGGAGAGAGAGGCCAATGGCGGCGAAAGGGAAGACCGTGGCAACGGCAACGGGGGGGAAGGGGAGGGGACGGAATGACATTGGCCATCTTGTGAGGGTTTGGTTTGTCACACATCGTCTTTGACTTCGCTCGGTGAGGTTTCTTGTGGGACACATGCGGCATGTGGGCGGTTTCTCTTTCTTCTTCTTCTTCTTTGGCGGGCTGGGCTGGCCTTTGTTTGTCTCAGCCGGCCCGGTGTGTGCGTGTAGGTGTACTTGCTGTACGTGTGGATGGGGTTGGGTTCATGGATGGACAGACAGACATGCTTTATTTTGCCAACGCTCGCGGAGGGTATAGGGCGTGGGTGGGTGGGTGTTGCTGGTTGCTAACAGGGGAAACTCACTCCCACATTATTTATTATCATGAATGAAAGGCATGGCATGAGCAATAGGTCAACCAAGCTACATCACATTGAGACAACTTGACAAATGATCCACCCATCCGTCCATCCGTCCATATCCCACACATGTACACGCGCACACATCACATGCATCACGTCCATGTCATACACGGCACGGCACGCAGCAAGAGTGAGTGACTAGCTGGGCTAGCTACACCTGACGTACTGACATCCTCACCAGATAGGTACCTGCAGTGCTGGGTGGGTGTTGTGGACACAAAACATTCACTCATGAGTGGCGTGCAAGCAGAGAACAAGAAGAAAGAGAGAAGACACCCGACACCATTATGACACACACACGCACATGCGCGGCCACTGACGGCATGTGCGTGGTGGGGGCGGGATGTCGGGGAGTCTCCATCACCTGCGAGACGGCCATTGAATCGTAGCCTGCGGCCGGTAAAAGGGCGCAGCGGCGATTCATCGGCCATCTCCCGTAGGGACACAGAGCCCCCCACACCATTCCCAGCCCTCGCCCATCCCATCAGCTGGGGCAAAACTCTCGTCACCAATCAACCAATCAAGACATTTCCTTGCACCCGTGTATGCAGCCAGCCATGCATCACCCCTCTGCACAACAGACAGCGCCGCCCTCTGTATCTATACGACGGACGGACGGATGAGCTAGCTAGCTACAGACGTACACGCACAGACAGTCACGCCTGTCGGTTCTTCTTGCTCGCAGACCTCGTCGCCTGACACGTTCACACACACGGTCACAAATGGATCCTCACGCAATGCCGCCCGTGTCGCTTACCATTCCGCCAGAGGAAGGCCTCTCCCTCTTGACGCTACTGACCCTCTCAGACTTCACTCCATCACCACTTGGAGCCGAGGCTGGGGCCGGCGCTGAGGGCCTCTCGGCCGCACTACCACCACCACCACCATCTGCAGCAGCAGCAGATGAAGGCCCAGATGGCGCCCCACTGTGCTGACTCGCTGCCGCTGCAGGCGGGTAGAGAGGGGAGAACTTGGCCTGCAGCCTGGATGCCTCGTCTCGGTCGACGTTCGTCCAGTCGCCCCTCCGGCTGGCGGGCTGGCTCTCAGCGCCACCACCAAACTTCTCCCCCTGAGCGGCCGACGCCACAGCCAGCAGCTCCTGCGCGCCTTCCGTCGTCCTCGGAACGATCTGCGGCTGCTGCTGCTGGCCGGGGATTGCCTCTGGCTTTGGCCGGGGATTGCCACCGTCTGGGAAGACGGAGACAGACAGGGGGCGGGGGAGGGGGTGGGGATGGGACGGCTTCTGGTGTAGTGGTGGTGGTGATGGTGATGCTGCCGGGGCCGCCCCAGCCGCAGCAGGCTCTTGTCTGTCGTCGCAACCGCCGACGCGGTGTCGAGCCTGTACCATGATGACGTGGGGGTTGGGACTGGTGCTAGTCTCGGCGGTTGGTTTGTGGTCTTGGTCGTCAAAGTCTTTGAGGCGATCGGCTTCGTTCTCATCGTCTTGTGCCTGCTGCTGGTCTGGCTGCTGCTGAGATGGGGCGGCGTTGGTGTTATTGTTGGGTTTTCTCCGCTGTGCAATGGGCAGCATCAGCTCGAGCAGCGACATGCGCCACCGACCGAGGGCTGCGGGGAAGGGAGGGAACAGACAGACAGGGGAGAGAAAGAACACACGAGGCGATGGGGTGAGGTGAACAGGCATGCCGCGTGACATTCATGACTTACCGTCGGTGCATATCTCTGCGAAGTTCTTTTGCGGCAGGGTGATGTCCAGGTCTCTGAGGCAGCACACACACACACACACACTCAGGAAGGAGGCCTACCTCGAGAGCGGTGTGCGTGAGTACCTACCTCAGTGCCCATAGCTCATATCCCTGCGGTTCCCTCCCATTGCCGTTCCTGCCGCCATTCCCATTCCCATTGCCTCCCCCATGATGCATCGCGTCACCTCCCTCGCCCTCCTCCTCACCGGCCTTGCCCCCACCACCGTTGCCATCCACCTCACCACCTCCTCCTGCTGCTGCTGCTGCTGCTGCTGCGGCAGCACTACCACCATCAGCCCCCGTAGGCGCCCCATCCTGTGCCTCCAGGCCGCTCGCGGCGGCCGGTGGCTCATCATCCCTCTCCTCTGTCTCCATCCCCTCCTCGTCTGCTGCACCGTCGTCCTGTCCTTGCTGCTGCTGTTGGTCTCTCTGCTCGGACGGTCCCGCCTCTTCTTCTTTTCCCTGCTGGTCGTTGAGCGTGGCGCTTGGCGGGGGAGGGGAGGGAGAGGGGATAGGCGTGGAGGCCATCCCCTGCGGGGGCGACTCGGAGGGTGGCGGGCCAGCCAGGCTGCTCATGCTCGCCACATCCTCGGTGGAAGATATCCGCTGGATGTAGTTGAAGTGAAATGTCCGCAGGAGCCCCAGCAAGCGACGGTGATTGGCGTGCGGCTGGTGACTCGTGGTGGTGCCTGCGCCTGTGCCTGTGCCTGCTGGTGGTGGGGTGGCGGCCGTGTCTGTGGCGCTGGCTGGGCCGCTGCTGCTGTCTCCCGTCTCGCTCGCACCAACGCCACTGGACTCAGAGAGATCCTTGCTGGCCGCAGGGGCCAGGGAGAGAGAGAGATCCACAGACTCGACGGGCGACATTGGCGCACGGATGAGCAGATTCCTGAACGAACAGACAGATAATACAGTGGGTCGAGGGACGGCTTCGGCACACACACGTGAGTACCCACCCGATTCCTGAGTCAATGGCTTTGGCGATGGCGCCCGCCATGAGGAATGAGCCGAGAGCCTGCCCCTCGACGGCAGCTATGATGATCTCCATCAGCCCCCATGTCGACGAGTGGGTGCGGGCCTCCTCCACACCTGGTGCACGCCCCTGCAGTGCACATGACATGCACACAACACAGACAGACACACGCGGGGTGCGTGCGCATTCAAGAGAGAGGGAGAGTGTGTGTGTGTGTGTGTGCGCGTGTGTGTGTGTGTACCTGCACGAGGCTCCAGCACGTGTGTTGTGCCTCCGGGCTGGAGTCGACAGTGCAGAAGCCGACGAGCGTGGAGGTGCCCTGGCTGAAGTTGAGCTGTTTGGCGGTGAGGACTACGATGGTGTTGTCACGGTTGTTCCTCCACTTGTCCAACACCTTGCGCGAGTACCACAGGGGCAGCCACGTGCTGCACCACACACGCGCGCAGATACGAACATGGTGCAGTCAGTCAATGCTTTCATTTCATCTGTGTCTGCGTGTGTGTGTGCGTGTGTCGGAGTGACGTACGTGACATGTGGGAGGCCGCAGATCTGTTCGAGCATGGAGCGGATCTCTGACCTGTGCTGAGGAGTCACCGCCTCAGCCTGGATGGAAACACACACACACACACACACAGGATCGATCACACAAACAAACGTACACACACCGCACCGCCACTCTCACTCACGTCTCTCTCCGCTTTGTGTGAGTGTAGCGCTGCGTCAGTCAACCACATACTTACTTTGTCAATGGAGAGGTGGGTCTGCTGCACGAGGCTGTCCCTGAAGTGCTGGAACAGCGTCGGCTGCGCCGGCCGCGGCATCGAATGGTACCCGCCGATGCCGCGCTGGGACTGTGTCGACGGCCCCACACCACCACCCACACCTCCTACACCGCCCCTCGGCCGCTCCTTGCCTCCCTGGTGATGCCCAAGGCCGCCTGTTTGCGTCTTGCCTGTGGCATCCCCCTTGCCGCCGCCCACCTGCAGCTGCTTGCCGGCCGACCCTGCCACCGATCCACTGCTGCTCCTGTCGTGGACGAGCATGCTGGAGGAGCTGGACGAGTTGCCGTCGCCTGCGGACACGGCATTGGGTGGCGGGGGGATGACGGCCATGGGTGGTGCTGTTGCACCGGTGGGCGGCACGGTGAGGGATGGCGTGTGTGGTGGGGCGGGAGGAGCCATATGTGGTGGGCGGGGTGGCGGCCGATGCAGCACACGGTGGCGCGGCACCTGGGCTGACGACTGGCTGGACAGAAAGCCCTGCAGACCCAAACCGACACCTATGGAAACACACGAGAGAGGGAGCGAGGGGAAAGGCCGACACAAATAGACAGACCTGGGCATGTCATGTGAGTGTGTCGGGTGAGGCAGGCAGGGAAGCAACCTTGATGCATCCATTGGGTTCACCTACGTACCTGTCATCATGACTGACATGCCCTCCTCCCCCTCCCGCTCGGCAGCCATCTCCACCGGCACAGCGGCCGCCGGAACAGCCACCACCTCACCGCCAACCTGCACAAATCATCCATCGGTCGATTGTAAGTAACGAACACGGCACGGCACACACGAGCCACCCACACCACACCACACACGCCCTCCTTCCACGCCTCTGACGGCCCGTCTGTCTGTCTGTCTGTCTGTCAGTCTGTCTGCCGCCTTACGTACGTGCGGTTGTGTGTGTGGCGTGGGGTGAGGTGGCACGGCAGGCGGAGGAACCATCGGCTGGGAATCCATAGGTACCGCTGCCTGCCTATGGATGCGCAACACACACCACCTGCAGCGCACGAGCAGCAGAAGCAAACGATTGCATTGCATGCTGCATTTCCTTACCGACAGGTGTGTGTGTGTGGTGTGACTGGCGATGCTCGGTTGCTTGATGTCAACGCAGGATGGCACTCAGTGCATATGCTGAGTCACTCCTGACGCCTCAGCTAACGAGCACGGCCGACGAAGACGCAAGTCGAAAGCAAACCGAAAGCACAGCACAGCTTGGCTGTCACACAGAGAAAGCATCATGACGACGTCACTGAGGCCCTCTTCAACCACCAAACCTCGGGATTTGCTCCTTTGTTGTTATTTGCGAGCTTTCGACCGGTAAGCTCGCAATTTCTTCCCAGCGTGTTCGCCCTAGCCGTCTGTTCGCCTTGGGGCGACAGGCCTATCCTCCATATTTGAGAAGCAGCGTCAGTTTTCGAGGCGAGTTTGGCGGTACCAGAATCAAGCTGTAGAAGACTCTGACGACGCTTAGGCCATCTGCCGCCATACATCATGCCGAGGTACGCACACACGAACAGCACAGCAGCAGGCTTCCCAGATGCACACCGCACTCGCCGCTCATGCACTCATCCCGCGAGAGACGTCCATCTATCTCGCTTCACTTCCCATACATCCCACTTGCGTGCCTGTGCCACATGTGTGTTGTGATGGATGCCATTCTGTCCGTCCAGGGAGCGCTCAGATTCCCGTGAGCGTCGTGGTCGGGACAGAGATAGGGAGAGAGACCGGCGCTCGCGGTCGCCGCGCGATCGCGATGACTACCACGGCCGACGTGGAGGAAGGGATCGAGACTACAGAGACCGTGACCGCGATAGGGACCGTGGCGGGGACAGGGACAGGGAGAGGGAGAGGGGTAGGGACAGGGACGACCGCAGGAGCGACTCGAAGCAGCGCCGCAGCAGGGACGACATCAGCGCATCCAGAGAGAGGTGAGGGTCAGAGAGGCACGCAGGGAGGTCTGTGGAGGCGAGAAGGGTTTCTAGTGTGGTGTGGTCGTCTGTGTGTGGGTCGGTCCGTCTGGCAGGTCTCGCGAGCGTGAGCGGCAGCGCCGAAGAGCACAGCAGAGGTGAATTAATGGCACTGGCACACACGCAGACAGACAGAGGGGTGGGGGCAGGACAGACAGGCGAAGGAAGGGAGTCAGCAATGGCTCCCTCCGATCCACTTCACGCATGTGAGTGATATAGCGTCCGTCCGTCGATACTTTAAATGTCAGTTGGCCGCTATCCAACACGTGAAGGAAGTGGTCAAACGGGGGAGGGAGGGAAGCCCACATCTGATCTATCTATCTGCCGTCTGTCTCATCTGTCCTGTCCTGTCCATGTGTGTGCGTGTCCTTGCTGTAATTACTATGGATGCCATGCATGACACACGTTGTGCACTCACTGCAGGTGCATGGCCCGTACGGCGCACACCAACACCAAGAACGAGCTGTTCTGGGACGGATTCCAGTGGGTCGCCAAGACTTCCAAACTCACACCCACACTGTCAGTGTGTCAGACACACACACATACCATCATGGATGGGCACACACAGCACAGAGAGAGAGGAGGGAGTTCTTCGTTGATTGATGTGCCTGTGTGTGTTTTCATGTGTGTGTGTGTCAGTGCGTGTGGGACGACCACACAGCAGCAGCTGCACTCGACACGCAAGGGGCGACGGCTCTACATCGGTACTTCACCCACCCACACCACATACATGCCACACGCCAGCCGCGCCTCACTCGCAGGGCAGGTGCCCGTCTTTCGTCTCCATGCCTTATGTGTCTTTCTGTCATGGGTGCGGCGCGGTGCGCTCATTCACTCATGCCATGCCACGCAGGCAATTTGCCTCTGCACCTGGGGCTGACCGAGGCGGCCTTCCAGGTGGCCTTCGTGGAGGAAATGAAACGACGGCAACTCATGGGGCAAAACGACGACAGTAAGCACAGACACAGACAGAGGGAGAGAGAGAGAGAGCGTATTATGTGGTGGGTGGCTGTGTTGACTTGCGTTGCAGACCCGGTGCTGTGTGTGTGGTTTGCCCGCGAGAAGGGAAACAACTACGGATTCATCGAATTCGGTACGCGGCCGCGGCCGGCCGGCTGCACACCCATACACACACTCGCAGGCGCTAAGTCCATCCATCCATCGACTGGTGCGTTTGTATCTTCCTGTCTGTCTGTGTCGTGTCAGCGTCTGTGGAGGATGCTGACAAGTCGATGGCGCTGGACGGTTTCCTCTGCATGGGCACGCCCATACGCATCTCCAGACCTAACGACTACACACAGACGCAACAACCCTCAGAGGCGTAAGCAAAACGGCTGACCTCACCTGCACACTGCAGGAAGGGCCATACACCCGCATCGACCGACTAGCATCTGATATGTGTGTGTGTGTGTGTGTGTGTGTGGATTCTTTTAGTGCATCGAATGCGTTGGGTGTCCTGGCCCAGCTGTCAGCCCAGCAGCTGCAGCAGCGGGGTGGCGTAGCGGCCTCTGGAACAGACCTGCAGGGCCTCGCCGCCGCCATACCGGCGGCGGTAAGCATGAGCAGACCAAGGAAAGAGAGACGTCGCCCCACCTGCCCTGCATGTTTGTGCGTGTGGTGATGTTGGCGGCATGATGGATGGTCAGGGCGGTGGTGTGGCGGCGGCGGTGTTGGGTGCGGGCCCCTTGGCGGGCACGACGCCGTACATCAAGATCAACAGGGTGGTCAACGAGGAGGAGATTGAGGACCCTGACGAGTATGACGATATTCTCAGCGACATGAAAGACGGTATGTATGCTTCCATCCATCCATCCATGCATCTGTGTGTGTGCATGTGTGTGTGTGGTGTGCGTTGGCTCGGCTCTTCATTGACTGCATTGCAGGGTGCGGGACGCATGGCAGTGTCCAGAACGCCATCATCATCACACCGCAACTCAAGGTAGGTGACTGACACCTGCAATCAATATGCCAGCACAACACACACGAGAAGGATGCACTCACTGCACCGGTCCCCATCCCATCTGTGTGTCTGTCTGTGTGTGCGCGTGTCAGCAACGTGTGGGTGCGCTGGCTGCGCCCTTTTCGGCCGGCGACGTTTTGCTTCAGATGAGTTCACCCGAAGAGGCACTCAACACACTTGCAAGTGAGAATGAATATGGTATTTCATATGGACACGCAAACATCCAACAGCCACGTCGACCATCTGCCTGTTTGTTTGTTTGGTGTGGGTGGCGGCAGAGATGAGCGGCCGCAAGTACGACAACCGCGCGATAGCCATGATGCTCTTCGACCCGACCGACTGGGCCATGCACGTCGAGCCCATGATCGCCGCAGCAAAGGCCACAGCCGCAGCCAGCACCAACGGTGCATCCCCAAGCAACAACGGGGTGCCGCCGCCTCCACCCATTGCCGCGTGACTGATTGATTCAAGGGGCAATTAGCGAAGCGAGTGACGTGACGCATGTACTCTCAGGTAGAAGAATGACATAGATGAGCGATTGATTGGAGAGCCGATTGATTTGGTTGATCGGCTGGCTGGCCAGGGGGGAGGACTGATTGTATGTAGAGTGCACTGCACGTGTGTCAGCGGAGCGTGGCTTAGTTAGTGATCGATGTGACGGACTGGCGACAGTGGGTGCATATGTGCGTGCACAAGTACGTTGATGCTTGACTGAATGGATGACTCTCATCGTCCGTGCGAGGCGAGTATGGGAGCGAACAAACATACATAGCGGCAGAGGTCTCAGCCAAGACAGAGATACAGTCGGTGTCGGCCTGTCCTGCGGTGGCACCACTTCCGTCAACCGCACCGTCGAGGCGGGCGACGAGAGTGATCGGCAGCGAGGCACGAAGACACAGACTGCATCTCTCCACCAGGCACGCAACGCAGATCCCATCCATCCATCCATCCCACGGTCGCATGCTGTCTGCCTTGCCCCTCTGTCTGTCTGATTGAGTCGGTGGTCTTCAGGTGTCGGCATCGATGGCCCACTGAATGCACCACTGACAATGCATCCAGTGCACCATCAATCCGGACCCATGAGAACACAAACCACATCAGACAGACAGACACGAGGCGGAGGCGTCAGTCAACTTGACTCCATCCATTTCATCCATTCACATTAATACCCATCCGCGTAAGTACGTACGTCCCATTCACTCAGTCGCTCGCTTACTCAGGGCGAAAAAGCCTCGCTCGCTTCTCCGAACCACCGAAAAACATTCACACGACCAGTGACTCACTCGAAGCCTCATTCCTGCTTGATGGCAGTGTTAGTGTCGGTCTTGGGCTTCTTGAGGGGCAGGACGTCGCTGTCGTCATCCTTCACGCTCACGCCACCACCACCAGCAGGATCTCCATCTCTATCACCATTCGCCGCCACCTTGTTGTCCTCAGCCATCTTGTCGCCGCCGCCACCACCACCATCAGCAGTCTCCTTGGCAGCCGCGCCACCCTGTTTCTGCTCGTCCGCCATCTTGTCCTTCGAGTCATCCGCACCACCAGTTGTGCCCTCCCCTGCACCTCTGCCACCCTCCTCCTTCACTTCCCGAGCCTCGACAGCCTTGCGTTTGTGCGGGAGGGCGCCTGGCGGTCTGGCACGCTCCCGTCGCTCTCGTGGCGGCGGGATGGGGTCCCGAGGAGGCGATTCGTCGTCCTGTTCGTGAGCGCCGGGCACGAGGTCGGGTATGACGGCCTGGTAGGCTGGTCCGACGCGGATGCGGGTGTTGCGGGCCGTCATCCATTGCTTGTGGGGGCGGGGAGGGGCGGGGTAGTTGATGTCATGAGTGGACGTGTCTGATTTGTCCAGAGGATCCATCCCAAAGGCTATCTGGAGCTGCCAAAGTGCGTCCTGAAAGCCAAGTTTTACGGGAGCCTCATTTCCCTAACTCCCCGGAGAAGGAAGAAGAAAGAGGTGAAGCAGAGCAAGTAGCGCGTGTTGCGTCTGCTGCATTAACTATTTGCGAGAAGGACGGCGGATGCGTGGAGGAGGGCGCGAGCGCTTCGTTCGGCTGATCTGAGGGATCTGGCGACAGGAGTTTGCTCTCAGCAGATCCACCACTGACTGCGTCAGCAGTGGCGTCCCAGCCCACCGAGGATGATGCACTATGTGCGCGTTGCGTCGCTCACCTTGCGTCGGTGGTCTGTGAGGGGTGCCGTGGCCTTTGTCGGCCTGGGAGTGGCGCAGGGATACTGGCTCAGGAAGACTTACAGAGGGTACGGTACACGCGCACGGTGATTAAAACATTGGCAGCTGGCAGGCAGGCAAACAATCAGGCAGTCATGCATGTGTGTGTGTGTGTGTGTGTTTGTGAGTCAGGCTGCCGGCTCCCCTTGGTCCGACTGAGGGTCGCGAGACGTGGGAGTCGGAGCCCGTCCCCCCGCTCCCCGAGGTGCCATCCGATGCAGCCACCACCACCCCGTCCCCTTCCTCCCCGCCACCCGCCCCGCCACACCACTGGACGGCATCCATCAGCACCAAAATCGACCAGGCACTGCACAGATGGCAGTGGCGAGAGGGGACATCAGCATCAGCGCCCCACCACGAGCACGCTCATGCGGTGGTTGGGCAGTGGCACAGGGCGGGGGGGCATGCGCATGATGGGGCGGGTCGTGTTGGTGTTGGGGCGGGCAAGAAGAGGATACTCTTTGTCGGCGACTCGCTCGTCACGGGGGTTGGCTGTGAACCTGAGAGGTACCTGAGCAAGGAAGGAGCTGAGGGAGGACAACTGCGCCGCGATCGTGGTAGATGGCTTCGTGTTTGTTGTTTGTCTCTGTGTGTGTGTGTGTGTGTGTTGGTTATGCAGGCGTGAGGGTCCGATGCTGCCTCGCGCGGTGAGTCGGTTTTTGGCTCACAGGTTGAAGACCGAGGTGGAGTGGAAGGCGCTCGGGTACATCGGTGGAGACACCAAAGCGCTTCATAGGGTAACCCGACGCATCCTTCATCCTTCCAAGCAGCGTCTCTGTATGGCTCTCTCTCTCTCTCTGTGTGTGTGTGTGTGTATGTGTGTGTGTGTGTGTGTCAGAATCTGGTGCCCAAGATCCAGGCTGAGGTGGCCCAGGAGAGGGTCGACATAGTGGTGCTCATCTGCGGCCTCAACGACTTCAAGAAAATCATCACCGACTTCAGGGGCGCCAAGGCTTTTCGCGACGACCTGGGCGACCTGGTGCGGGCGGTGCGCCAGACGGTGGGCGACGAGTGCGAGATCTTCCTGCCCTTCCTGCCGGTGGAGTTCTGCGGCGCCTTCCGCGTCAAGCCGCTGTACTACTTCATCATGCTGCTGATGGACCGCTGGGACTCACAGAAAAGGGCCGTGGCCGACTCCAACGACTACGGCAAGGTCGACGTGGTCGGAAAGCCGCCTGGGTGAGCTTAGCGACACACACACACCTCTTCACACACAGAGGGGTTGGTAAGGTGCCTGCCTGGGTCATTGTTGCATCGTGTTGGGTGTCTGTGTGTCTCTTTGTGCAGTTTCTTGGCTCACGTGCCCGGTTTGACGGCTCCCGACGGTGTGCACCCGTCCGACCTCGGCTATCGCGCCTGGGGCGAGCACATCGGCAAGTACCTCGCCGCCAAGCTCGAGCAAGCACGCGACCATCTGCCCCATCCCCACCACCCCCACCCCCCGCAACAAACGCCCCTGTCTGCACCCGCCACACATCATGAGACATCGACGGCCGTCATCGGAGAGCATACACCCGGTGCACCAGAGAGATCGGCACCGAGTGACCATGACCAGCCTGCTCCTGTGCCCGCGAAGAGCAGAGGCCAGACCGACGGGCCGAGGGAGCCTGTGGCGGTCAACGAGAAGGCGGCGAGGCTGCTGTCTCTGTTTGATGGGCGGGGAGGGCCGCTGTCGCCCTCGCTGGTGCGGAGCCAGCAGCCGCAGCGGATAACGGAGGGCGGTGGTGGTGCGAGGGCCAGGCTGGCTGGTGGTGCTGGAGGAGATGAGGGGGTTGAGGGAGAGGGAGAGGAGGGGGGAGATAGGAGGGGCGTGTATGTGGATAGGGAGGCCATTGTCAAGTGAGAGTGAGAGCGAGGGGCGCCGATCAATGAAGAGAGAGAGAGATGAGAGGTGTAATGGAGGAGCCCTTTGGGCCTTTTGTCTTTCGTACCCTGTTGCTGGTGTTTCGGCGGGGGATTCAGCTTCCGGTCGGCGACGTCCGCTGCGTTGTGTGTGACATCACAACGAAGCAGACGTCGCCGAGGAGGGGCTCAATCCATCGCCGATGTGCCGCAACCATCGCACTGATTCGACGACAGCTGGATGATACGGATGCGTCAGTGAAATGGATGGATGGACGGAAAGAGGCAGTGCAGTGCGCGTGGGGTGGTGACGCTCATTTCGGTCAAAATACATAATGTGACCATTATTATAATACACACACGGATGGCACCACCGGCAAGTCATCTCACCCACACAGAGAGCTGACCGACTCGGCCATTTCTCGGCGACGGTGCAGTGCATCATGATCACCAGAGAGACAGCGAGATAGTGACCCGTCGATAGGGCGACTAGCTTTCTCAGCTCCTTCATCATCTTGATGCACTCGCTCCGCCACCACACAATCAGGCTGACGTAAATGCTGCACATATCATCAGACAGAGAGACCCGCTCGCACTGTCTCGCAGCAGCTGCAGGGCCGCAGCGTCAGTCTCTCCGTGGTTGATACTGCAACACACACACACACACACGCACGCAACACAAGGACCGGTAGACAAGCAAACAGGGTGCCTCGGTGCTGCTGGTGCGTGCGCTTCCGACCTTGAAGGTCTCGAGCAAAGGCAGCAGCCTGGCATACACGTACTCCAAGACGCGCAGACTCCTGCACATACACACACACACACACACACACATATATATATATATATGTATATATATGGCGCCATGTTGCGCGTCTCTGTCTCTGGATGACTGCCTCACTTAGCGCCGAGTACGCTGGTTTTGCCCGAGTGGAATACGGTGACAGTGATGTTGGCATCCTTCTGCTGGTCGTCGGGGCCCTTGATCTCGTCAGGCACCGGCACCATCACCTGCGCACCTGACACACAAAACACACACACACAGGTACACGGACGGATGGCTGCTAGTGAGCTGGTCAGCCAGTCACCTGGAGAGCGTTCCAGGTCGTACTTGATGGGGAAGGTGGTGTCTGCCAGCCCAGCCAGGACAGCAGCAGTCGCATTCATTGTGCATCTATCTGATCTGCCAAGGCTGTGATGGTGTGAGTGAGTGGTTCTTGGTCACCCACCTTTGGTGAGTTTGTTGATGTTGATTTCGAAGCCGGTGTAGTAGGTCGCCATCAGACCGCAGATCTGTTTGATCAAACAAGATCAGTCAGGCAGGCACACGCATATGTGCGCACAAACAGGTGTGTGTACCTGGAAGTTGTGGAACTTGACGTCATAGCCGAGGTGGACCTTGAGCCGGCGGGCAGCACGCCGCAGATTCAAACGGGCCGCATCTATCGACGGCGCACTCGTCAGCTGACACACACGTACACACACACACATACACGCAAGAACGACAGAATCTGTCTGTCTGTCGGTCTGGCGATGTGTCTGGTGCTGTCACTCCCAGACAGACAGACGCCCACCTTCAGTCGCCCATTCTCGTACATCTCCACAATAGAAAAGGGGTCACGATACTCAACCCTGCACCAAAAAACACATGTACAAACACACGTGTCAAGAACAATACGGCTGAGCCCTGCCTGCGTCCATGGGCCCTCCGTCTGCACCTGACGTGGACCCTGCTGGGGTTGTCGGCCGGGTTGTAGTAGCTGTTGACGAAGCTGAGGGCCACTTTGTCGAGGTCCAGCACACAGCCCGTCAACGCCGCCGCTGACGTGTTGTGCACCATGATCTCGCCAACCTGACAGATCCAGGCAGATCACAGGCAGGTGAAGGTTGGAGTGCTCTGCCTGCCTTCTCGGTCGACGCGGCATCGTCCTGGAGGCCATTGTCACCGAACGCACCTTCTGCCTGCACAACACAACAACACACACAGGGACTGAGTTTTCTGGCGTTTGTCCTGCAGGAGTCTGTTTGCTGACCTTCCCACGCTTGCGCTTTGTCATCCTTTGCTCTTTTCCCTGGGAAAAAGCGAGCTTAGCAGGAGGTCCAGAGAGGAATGAGGATTGCATCCATGTGCCATGTGTGCGCGCGTGCGGAATGGCATCTTCCCCAGGTGTGCTTGATGGCCTGCAGTGCATGAAGAGTGGTTGCACCCATCGAAATGCCCATTCAGCAGTACAACTTATTCACAACAGGGCAGGCGTAGGCGGCCATCATCTGCCCCCCCGTACGCAGATGAATGAGGTGTGATTGTGCGAAAGACCCTTGCCGGCGGCCCCCCACAACCGCTCGCCACCCGCATACACCAGGAAAGAAAGGCAGACTCACGCTCTGCACACCACGTTCCGCACACCACCTGCACAGGCGCTTCTCTGCCCTTCTCCCCTTGGTAGCTAATCGAGGAAAACGCCCCCCTCGTCATTGAATCCTATCGATCTCACCGCTGGCTGATGGTTTGCCGCAGCAACGCGCGCAGGAGCAAGTGTCGGCTGTCTGTCTGTCTGTCTGTCTGCCAGCGCCTAGGAATTAAACCATGCAGCCGAGTAGCCTACCTACCGCCACGTACCTACCGCTGTACACCCACCATCCCATCCATCCATCCATCCATCCACCCGCCCACCCACCCTGGCTATCACAGCTCTACTTTGGGTCGCTTCCGCGACGGCCCGCTGGCGGCACTGTCCAACTCATCCCCATCGGCGATGGAGCCCAAGATGGCCTGCATCAGGTCGGAGCCTCTCCTGTTGACCTCACTGGCCGCCCTCTTGCCGACGCCGTTCCCGTCGCTCAGCGGCCCCCCCACCATACCCCACACGAGCCGGAAGAGGCGCTGGCGGTCGCCCAGCGTCGTCACGGTGCGGATGAAGGCAGCGATGTCGGTGCTGTGCGCCAGGAACACGTCGAGGCTGACGCATCCGCTCAGAATCTCGCCATAGCACCACCCGCCGAGCACCTCCTGGCGGTCACGCCGGGCGAACCAGGCGGTGACGGCCCACAGAGGCGACACACCGCCGGCTCGAATGCGGGACAAGAGGGCACCGACGCTCTCGGCAGCCTGCGTCATAGAGGGAGATATAATGACGGAGCCATCAAACACACACACACACACACATGACGCAGCCTGTCTGTCATCTGTGTGTGTGTGTGTCCGCTGAGTCACTGTCTGTCCCACCTGTCTGTCCATCGAGTATCCCACAGCTTGGATGTCGGCCGATCTGCGCTCGAGCAGCATGATGCGCAGGCAGTGCAGCACGAGGCACCGCATCGGGTGGTGGCTGATCGTCACGGTCGCCTTGACGTCCTTGACCTTCTTGCCCGTGTCAGCGAAGCGCTTCTGCGAGCGGAATGGGCACCACACCGTGAGGCCCTTGTCTTCCCGCCCGGTCAGCATGCCCACGCTGAAGTACGGGTTCTCGAGTGTCTCCTCCACACCGTCGACGGAGATGGTGGCCCTGCTGGAGTAGCAGAAGACCCCGTGTGGGCGGCCATCCACGGCGGCAGCGCAGCGGGTGAAGATCTTGAAGGTCTTGACGTCCTCGAGCAGCATATCCCCATAATCGTCGGGGTCGTCGTCATAGTACCGCCCGATGCACTGCGCGCTGTCGGCGGACTTCGTTCCGGTCATGTCGGTAGCGAATGGTGCATGTTCGTACTCTAGCTCCAGATCCGCCATGTCGATGACGCACTTCTGCGCGAGCTGCTCCGTCTGGAAAACCGCTGCTGCCTGTGGTACGCACACCACGACACAACACAACACGGCACAACAGCTGCATCGCTGCCCCCTTGCGTGTGCGGATTTATGTGTTCTCACCGCTTCGTTGAAGTTGCCGGTCATGGTGGTCTCGATGAGGAATTGCTGGAGCGTCTCGAGCCGCACACCACACGTGCCCCTGTCGATGACGGACGTGAGGCTGCACAGGGCACTGATGATGAAGTTCCTGAGCGACCCGTCGCCAGCGTCGGATGCGCCAGCACTCCAATGTGAGGCCACCTGCTGCCCGCTCTTGGCTATGTAGGGGGCACAGCAGTCCATGAGCTCGGGACACTGCATCAACAGCGACCTGACATGCGCACAGCACCGAGAGAATGATCACTGTTTCTGCCGCGAGCCTTCCTTAACCGGAGCTGACCTGACGAGCGGTCTGGCGAGTGCCATCTTGAGCAGATTTCTACAGATGCCCTGGTCCTGCTGCCAACCGTTGAGGCGAATCTGAAGCAGTCGTACGTAGCACGCAGCATAGCGTGTTCTGACACACCCATCGCCCTCCCTGTATGCCTCGCCGCGCCTCTCACCTTGGCACCGATGGCGTCGAGCATGGCGTCCTTTTCTATGGGCTGCAGGAAGTCGAGGGCCGCTAGCACATCCAACACACTCTGAACACAGAGAAGCGGAGCGGGAAGTGCAACCATGTCATGCACTGGTTGTTGGTCTAGGTACCTCTTTCGTGATGGTCCTGAGCATGGCTGCGCGGGGCTGCAGCACCACAGCCGCGATGGGCCGCGAGATATATGTCCTGCAGCGATACCGTGCGGTCAGCCATCTCCTGGAAGTTGCCGTCCAGCAGCTGCACACAGAAAGGGAAACGCAGGCACGGCCATGCAGATCTACGCAGATGCGTGCGTGTTATGTCAGCCTACCGCATGGAAGAACTCGTATTGCTGCGTGGTGGCCTCGTCGATGATGAGCGGCTCATCGGATCCCGCACACTTGACGGTGATCTCAGTCATCAGGGCTGAGCGAAATTCCAGAGCCTGGCTGGCTCGCAGCCGTTGCAGCTTCCCTGCAGTGGGCTTCTGTAGTCGGGGCATGTTCCCTGGCAGACAAGGAACAGCGTGTCTGCCAGTGCATACGTGCGTCGGCCTTCTCCTGCCGACAATTGGGTGATTGAATCGAAGGAGCACGACCTCTGCACGGACTTGTTGTGCCCGCAGGTGTGTTCTCACATGTGTCAAGTCATTCAATGTCGCCATCCGTCTATTCACGTCTGTGTGTGGCTGCCGCTGGAATGTCAGTCCAGTGATCGCATCTGTCTGCCAGCCGACAGCCAAGGCCACGACATTAATCCTGAACAAGGACCGACGTCGTCGCCTACGGCCTCTGCGTGCCACAGAAGCGAGCAGACGACACCAGCTTGCGCGCATCTCAGTCAGTCAGTCAGTCATTAGATGCTCTCCAGTAGGAGACCGATGCTTCATCTGTCTGGCCTCTCTCTCTCTCTCTCTCTCTCTGTCTCTCTCTCTTTGTTGAGCGTAGCGACGCACAGGTTACTTATTCACTCGATGACCCATCCATCCATTGCGCTCTTAAAACGCCTCTCTGTCTGCCTGTCTGTCTGTCCTTTCGCTTCCTCTGTCCCTCCCTCCATCACTCCTGCACACACGACCCCGTCACTCGACAGATAAATGAGCCATCGACCGATCGGGAGGATGAAAAATCATATCATCCCTCCCTGCCTCCCTCCACACGTCCCACACTCACTCCATGCTCACATCACGCACAGGGACGTTTGCAGACAACCCTCTCTTTCTTTCTTCCTTAACTCTTCCACATCAGTACCGAGACCAGAAAAATCAGTGTCAGTCACCTCAGGCACACAGAAAACCGCCACACGCACACTGAGTGACAGGATACACCTACTGCTCTCCCCTCCCACCCCTCCAGCCATCCGTCACATCCCCACGTGCAAACATGCAGCCAGCCGCGTCGAAAAATCACTCATAGATACCCTACCGCGTGTCCCTTCTCTCCCTCCCTCCCCCATTCATTCATTCATTCATGCAATGTCGTCGAGGCCAACGGCCTTTGCGGAGTACTCCCAGACCATTTGTGCCTTCTTCTTGTCTTGGGCCTCGTCCGACAGGGTGTTCTCGAAGAGGTCGCCGCCCGACCCACCCGCCCCCACAGGCGTGTCGCTGCCCGGCACCAGCACCCCCACCATCCTGGCGCCCCCATTCCAGCTCCAGTAGATGCCGCTCTTGGCGCACCGGGGGTCCGCAACGGTCTGGGCGAGGCGGTCGCCGGCTTCTGGCTCGCTGACGTATCCGCCTGTGACGTACTTCATGAAGACAGGGAAGAGCTTGCGGAACCACTGCCGTTTGTTGCGGAAGAGGTTGGTCTCTGCGATGCAGCCGGGGTACATGGAGGTGAAGGCGATGTTGGTCGAGTTGTGCAGCCGCCGGTCCAGCTCCTGCATCAGCAGCATGTTGCACAGCTTGCTGTCCTTGTACGCCTTGGCGCCATTGAAGTTGTGACCTGTGTGGGGCACAGGAAGACAACACACACGACACACACAACACACTCACGCACCCGCCCTCCTCCCTCTCTCTCCGTGTGTGAGATGAGATGAGATGAGATGAGATAGATGGTTCGGCCGGCTCACCGTCGATCATGGCAGTGCGCTGGCCCTTGAGCATCCGCCTCCACCCCCTCATGTCGCCAAGCTCCGCCCGCGGCCACACCAGCCCGCCGCCGATGGTGTTGGTGTTGCCCGTGATGGAGCCCACAATCACGCAGCGGGGGTCCTTGCTCTTCTTGAGCTCCGGCAGCAGCAGGTTGATGAGCAGAAAGTGGGACAGATGGTTGACCTGCAGCGACATCTCGTAGCCGTCCTTGGTGAACTCGGGCGCCTGCAGGTGGGGCAGGTACACGGCCGCATTGCAGATGAGCCGGTCGAGCGGCTGCGGGCCCAGCCACGCCTTCAGGTTCCTCGCGAACTTGCGGACGCTGTCGAACGAGGCGAGGTCCATCTCGAGCACGGCGACGTCCTTGCCCTCCTCCAGCCCCTCCTCCTTGCAGATGCGCTTGGTCTTCTCCTTGTCCCGCACAGCCATGACCACGAAGTAGCCTCCCTGCTTGGCGAGAGACTTGGTCGTCGCCAACCCCAGGCCGCTGGATGCGCCAGTGATGACGACAATCTTCTTGTTGATGGCCCGCAGGCCGCCCAGCAGCGGCGGCAGATCAGCCGTCAGCGGCTCCTTGTCCTTGGCATCCTTGGTGTCAGAGGTTGGCCGCACGAGAGTGGTGGCCTGTAGAGCAGTCGAGGGGAGCGAGGCAGGCGGTGGTGATCTCCGCAGAGAGACACGGCGGGAGGATGAGAGTGACGGGAGGTGTGCCGGTGAGGGAGGGACGAATGCATGTGAGAGGGGGAGGGCCAGGGCGAGCACGGCGAGGGGCGACATGATGGACGGCGACAGATCCAGGGGGAATGGGAGAGAGGGACGGGGATGCGGAGCAGCTGCAACGTTCCGGGGAGAGCGGTTTCCAATGAGAGGTCCTCCAACAGTTTCACGGAACGTCCTAGCCAAAGATGGCGATCCGACAATTCTGGTGGTTCTGGCGCCGAAAAGCCTTCCCGACTGCTGAACAGCGAGAGCAGAGGACGAGGAAACGGTGCAATTCCATCCATTCGACGTCCTGGTGCGTCCTGGCTGCCTTACTTGTGATGGTGCTGGGACGGCTGCCCGGCTTCGGTGAAGGATAAGACAGCCCCGCCACCGTCATGGAAGAAGGTACGTGTGTGCAACAAACCCATACGCAGAGGGAGGGGAAGAGGAATCATCTAACAGTGACTGATGTTGGTGGATGTGTGTGGGTGCAGGCGAGGGCGATGGTGGCGGTGGTGGTCGGTCTGCCCTGCGTGGCAGTGGCACTTATGGTCTCCCGATCTACGGGTCAACCATCCTTTGTTCGACACTCACCGCACACACAGCGAAGATATCTCTCTCCCCTCTGTGTTGTCTGGTGCAGGCATGTGCTGATGGCGGCGTTAGTAAAGTTCAAGAAGACTTCAATCGCATATCGATGCTGTTTGAGAGGATTCAGTCGAAGGTCACGACATGACATTGACATTGACACGCAGGCAGACAGACAGGCAGGCAGGCACCGCACCGCACCCTTCATGTGTGCGTTGGTTTGTTGGTGCAGTGGTCGGCTGATCCCTCTCGGGCGGCGCAGGAGCTGCTGCACGGCCGAACTGATGTACAGGTGAGCGTGTGGACGGATGGCTTACACTGGTCGCCTTGGGGGGCCTATGTGCCTGTTTGTGTGTGCAGTGTGAGTTGTCGGCCGTGGCGAGCAGTCTGTCGCGCATAGACGCCCTGTTAGACACACCTGCAGAGGTACACAGACACACACATGTGAGCAGAGGGAGGTACCTGGTGAGACCTAGCAGCGGCGGTGCGGTGTGGTGTGGTACCAGGATAAGTTGGTTGGTGCTGGAGGGGCGGTGGACATAGCTGAGGCCAGTGAGGCACATGACACTTCCACACCGGTACGCACACACACTTGCACGAGGAGCCATGGCATATGTGTCTGTGTGCTGTGTGTTCGTGTGGTGCGGTATGCCACCAGGTGGGTGTCGGTGGACCGATGGACGTAGGCGACACCAATGAGGGACTTGACGCATCAAATTCGGTAGGCAAATGGCGACGGCAACACAAGGCTGTATGTCGACAGCCATGGGTCCTCTCTCCCTGTGTATGTCTGTGTGTGTGCAGGTATGTGTGTCGGAGGTCAAGCGGGCCCGATTGGAGGGTCACTCAGGCCATCATGCCGCTGCAGCAGCAGCGAGTCGCGGTGGGTGGCGACAAAGCACATCAACCACACCCATACCAATCGGACGCACCCCAATGCCCTCTCTGCCTGTCTGTGTGTGTGTTGTGCAGGTGGTGTGTCGGGCGGCCCCGAGCTAGATGGGCAAACCCAAGACCACCAGCAGCAGCAGCAACAGCAGCAGGTCAGCCAGATGACACACGTGGGCCTGACGCCCATTGACGCCCTCATACTCTCTCTGTGTGTGTGTGTGTGTGTGTCAGGTTGTGTGTGGGCCGTGTTTGTGTAGCCTTGAGGGCCCGTTGCTGTGCGAGATGGCTTCGTTTCTCACCACCATTGAGGCCACCGTCCTCTGCCGTCTCTGTAAGGACATCAGCAGCAAGGCCGACTACACCGCCAACACACACACCACCGAGGGCAAGACCGACGACACGCCATTCGGCATCTACCGCAACCTCACGATCGCAAAGGACGAGCGCCTCACTTGGCAGCGGCTTGACTGGGCCCCATGCTCGCATCTGAGGGAAAAACTGGTGAGGGCGTCTTGTCATGTAAACAAAGCCAGAGTGCGGATGATGGATCCTTTGTCTTTCTGCCTGCCTGTCTGGTCACTCAGGGCCACGTCACGACAGCCTGCATCCGAGACAGGGACGATGCCACTATATGCGTCAATGGCGGCCGACTCTCCTTTGTGACGACTTGCCTCGAGGCGTCCAAGGCATCCCTCAAACACATCTGCACCACGGGTTTCATCGACCGTGAACACGCCCCGCTGCCCCCACGACCCGCAGTGGCCTTTGACAAGCTCACGACGCTGCACGTGACGTCTTCGCCGTGGATCAGACACTTCAGGTGAGTGAAATAGCAATACAAGGCAGGTCCATAGATGTCATATTCTTTGCCCGCCCCTGGTGCTGTGGGTTTCAGGGAGTCCAACTGGACGTTCCCGAGCCTCGTCGATTTACGGGTCACCGACACGACGCATACAGAGCTCCGAGACGTCGCCCACATCGTGCGGTCGGCCCCCCAGCTGCGCACACTCACAGCGGCCAGCAGCTGGGACAAGATCGGGGGCAAGGGCAGCGACTTGTGTGAGTTCGCCAGTGCCCTCAAGCAGTGCCCTCACCTGACGACCATCCGCGGGCTGGCCATCGAGAACAGCAACACGCACAGCAACCACTGCAGCCACCTGACTGATTTGCAGGAGGCCCTCGACACCCACTGGGGCAAAGAGGAGAACGGAGGTAGGTGGATGGGCTCGGATGGGCAGGCAGATATCACATGTGTTGCCTTGTCTGCTCTCGATGTCTGTTGCATCCCTGCCTCCCTGTAATGTAGGCGTCAAGAGGACCATCGAGTTTGTGTACGACCACCCCACCATCAGCACCAGCTTCGGCGACGAGACCCGCCCCCTCCACGCCTTCCTCACATGGGCGCGGCGGGTTGGTGTGGCCATCGAGTGGCGGCTGGGCGAGGTCTTCTTCCTGGACTGCAGCAAGGGTGCATCGAGCTCGGTCGGCCCTCCGGCTGTGCGTGGCCCCGTGGCAGACGTGGTCAAGGACGCGGCGTCCAAAGCAAAGATAGTAAGTCGGAGGAAGCGAGTGACTGTGGCCCTCTTCCACCGTCCATCTATCTATCGTGTTGTCCACGCCATGGCTGCCTGTGTGCCTCAGGTGTACTTGTATTTGGGTGGTACCCCTCTCCACCACTCGTGGAAGGACCTGCTGACATTTGCCGATGCAGGCATCCTCGAGATCTGGGAGGACGCCAATGGATCGGCGACGATCGAGGGCATCCCCATATGGCTGCTGGAGGTCGATGACAACGGCAACAACGTGCGCTTCCCCAAGGTAGACTACCTCAACGTCTCACTGGCTCATGTGGGCGATGATGATGCCCGACCTGAAGAGGCGTGGCATTTGCCGACCGCCCCCAACTCACTCACTAGACTGCTAGGCAGCCTGCGGGGGGTCACATCAGTCGAGTTCACCACGTCTAGTTTGTCTGCCGTGTGTGAGTGCCTGCCGCCCATGAGCACCGACAAACTGGACGTGTTGGAGGTCTGTGTGGCCGCCCACTTGACTGAACTGCCTGACCCCATCCCCCAGTACCCACTGCCGACTGTGCACCGCCTTGTCGTCCCGACACGTTGGGGGGCTGCAGTGAGCAAGGCAGCTGCGTTGTCGTGTATGCGTTTGGCCTTACTCACTCACGCACACGAGGCAGAATTTGAGTTTTACATAGCGTCAGACCAGTTTGACTTCCACCGAGACTATGGGGAGCTAGAAGGAGGGGATGAGGCGGAGGATGATGAGGATGAGGATGCTGTGTGGGAGCGAGAGAGGGAGCTGCGCCAGGCCACGGAGCAGCATGGCAAGGGGTGCATGCGCGCCTTGGCCACTGAGTGCTATGAGGTAGTCAAGGGAGGATACCAGCTGACAGACGTAGACGTCGGCTGTCACGTGGAGCACAACGAGACCACGATGCAGCTGATGTCCTATGGCCATTTGCAGCTAAAGGTGTTAGCTAAGGGGGCCATAGCCGGGGGGGAGGACAGAGGGGTCATGACCGACTGACTCTGCTGACTTGTACAGACTCTGCTGACTTGTACAGACTCACTCTCGTGGATGTGGCTGCCTGTGGATGAGTAGCGGTACATCGTTTTGATGCATGAGTGCCTGCGATGTCCTCGAGTTTCAGTGGTTGCTCGGTTGCAATGAAGGGACTGTGTCACACTCGTGTGCACTTGATTGTTTGTTGAAGATAAACAAAGAGTTCAGTCCCCGTCCGTCGCATGTGTCCCTCCCTGCCAAGGAAGCCACCTTCCAAATGTACTATGGCCACAGATCCACCACATACTGGATTGTCAAGTCAGACACGCATTGATGCAATAACATGGCGCCGTCTAGTCTGCCTAGTTACCTGACGAACGTTGTTCCCTGCAGTCACAAGGAGCGACTGCTCGACGAGATTCAGGAACTCTTAGTCGAGAAAGAAGAAGTCAGTCACTCACTCACTCAACACACACGAGGACACACATCGCTCTCTCTCTGGGTGTCACTGATTGGTGGATGAGTGCAGGCAGGAGATCATCCAGAAACTCAGTGAGCCCACACACCCACACAGACACACATCCATCGATGTGTCTGTGTGTGCAGAGGAGGAGCCGATCGGGCCGTCGCCGTTGGGCAAAGTGGCATACCAAACATACCTCTCCAAGGCAACACACACACACACACACACACACGAGAGAGACACACGAAGAGAGATTTTCGTGTCTGTGTGTCTGTGTGTCGATTGGTTGACTGGCTGGCAGCATCCCACCCGTCTGCAATATCTCCACAACCGACTCCACGAAGAGCCATAAGACAGCGAGACACAGTCACACAAGAACAGCAGCTGATGAGTGTGTGTGTGTGAGTGATGTGTGCAGGCGGGCCAAGGTTGATCCGGCAAAGGCAGCAGCCGACAAGATCAACAGCAACCACCGAGCAGTCATCGCAGCACATCAAGGGCACCATATTCTACATACCCAAACCAAAAGAGGGCAGGCAGCAGGTGGGTGAGCCCGAGGGGGAGACAGGGAGGGAGAGAGCCACAAGGACATGTGTATGCGTTGTATTCTCTGCGTTCATTGCATCACGCAGCACGCGATAATATTTGCCGAGGACGAGATGATGATCGGCGGGCGCGACCGGCTCATGCGGCGACAGATGAAGCTACAGGAGAAGGAAAAGGCGGCAAGAAACCCTTTCAATGAGGTGCGCGCACGCGCAGCCAACAACCACCGTGTCTCTCACGCCGTGTTGATATGGTTGTCAGGACATCGCATACGAGCAGCGAGGTTGGTGGAAGCGGACCCACGGTGCAGGTAGGGAGCGGAGGGACGCATGGGAGACACACAGGGAGCCACATGTGGCACAAGCGGGGCAGCTATCTGTGTATGTGTGTGTGTGTGTGTGTGCAGGTGGGTTTCGGTCGCGCGATGTACCAAACTAGAGGCCGACGGTGAGGTGGATCATATCCAATGCCACGCTCCGAGTGGCCATGGTGCACTCGCTCAAGGAACACCCTGCCAGAGCATATATACATGTACAGCCCGCTGACACTGACGTTGCGTGTGAAAAATGCATGAGACGCGCACTGCACCTGGTCTGGTTGATACACACGGATAGCTAATTAACTAGTACACATCTCACACCGCACTGAATCGTCAATCACTTACTGCTCATGATATCACGCTTGAAATCTCTCACCTTCAGCCATAGCGAGACACAAACAACTTACCACTCGCGCATTCCCGCCCCGCATTCCTCGGTCGTCACCAGATCGGGCTCGACAGCGGACACAGCTCACTGCAGCGCCAGATACTCATCGACACAGGCTAGTAAGAACTAGCTATCTGTGCATCGCTTGCCTCGGCGAAATATTCTCAAATTCTTCTCTGTTGGCGGCTCTGAAAAGAAGAGCATAACGGTGAATACGAGTCGTGTCCTCTGCTTTGGCGTAGCGTGTGTAAAGAGGTGTATGTTCCTACCTCCCATAAGACTGGTAGATGTGTATAAACAGGACAAGTATCGCAGTCAGCGCGTTCTCGAAAAGGAGCAGAATCCGTAGGCGAACAACACCTTGAGCGTACCAAACACACGTACAAACAAAACAACAGTATACGTGTGACGATGAAACAGCTGTCATCAGTGCGAAATACGAGTGGCTGACCAGCCTCGCCCTCAGAGCGCAGAATTGGCAGGTTGCTGGAGCGCACCAAAATCTGATAAGGAAGTTCTTGTCTCTGCCTTGTGTCTCATGAGCGTTTCTCACGAACGTGCATACCGTAATAAGAAGGGCCTCTACAAGACCCTCGATCATAACAAGGACGAGCAGCCCCAAGAACCTCTCCACAAGGGCCGCTGACGACGGGCTGTGCGCCTCCCTTTTTAACCCTTCGACCATGTTGGTGAGAATCAGTACAAAAGACTCCACCAGGCCGTACAACTTAATCTGATCGGCTAGCGCTCTTGTGTAGCGGGGCCCAATGGCAAGGCAGGCCAGCGCGGTGCTCATTGACATGCCGTCAAGGCAGCCGGGGGAGGGCATTGTGCAGGCCTTACGTCGCAAGAACTTGGTCATAAACCACCGTTTGAAAAGCGCACACACGATCACCCCTGACACGATACAGAGGCACACATACACGCTCCTGTATGTCGCACTGCACCACTCCCACCCACCATATGGCTGCGCCACGTCCGACACAAGGTCGTAACTACATATAAGCATCGAGACATCGGCCGAAACGTGCATGCAAGTGGACTGCGTTTGACCGTACATGGCAATCAGAAAGGTGTTGAGTATTTTGCTTGAAAAATGCTCCATCCTCGACTGCATTAACCTTGGCACCACCAGATAGACGATGGCCAGCCAATTGAGAAGCAGAGAGGGTGTCAGGGGGGGGCCCTGCCCGACCGACCTTGCCGTGCGGCCCGCAAGGCACATAAACGGCCAGCCACATATAAGAGCGATTACCGCGACCCGGAGTCGCTCCGCGTCGCTTGTAGGTCCGACGTCACTGGGAAGAATGACGCTCATAAGCTGCACGTGCCGCCAACAAGCAGAGGCAGAAATTATACGACGCATCACACTGGCATCCATAGCTTACGATCAATCCCCATCCGAGGACCAAAGTGTACAGCACAGCCATCTGAGACGCGTACTCTCTCTTCCGCTGTAGTCGCATTGTCCTGGCCGCGTCATAGAAGAAGAGCCACCTGCCACCAGCAGAGAGAGTCCGACGGACTAGCGTATCGCCATGCATTGCTTACGGAAGCAACGAGCAGCTGAGTCCCCACGAAAGGATCGCAAGCACTCGCCGTAACCACACGGGTATGGTTGCGAGATGATACCAAAGAGTCACCGTAAACCCCAAAGTCGGGCCAACTGCGAAAATCATCCATGCGCGGCGGATTCGCAAGATTACTCGCCTGATATTGAGGCCCTCCACCATTTGAGACGCGTTAAGGGCATAGACCAGCGACTCGATTGCTCGTCGGGCGAGGTCGATCAGAACCCACGGCCTCGCTTGTTTTCTGCTTTCCTTACATGCGAACCGCATACCAACCAGCAGCCCCAAAAAGAAAGTCGCCATGACAAATGCGATCAGGAGCTGCCTCCCAATGAGCCACGCGACACGGCGAAGCGTGTCCAACAGCCTCTCGGGAGTAGTTTTGGCGGCCACAAGTATCTGACCAACCCGCGAGAATCACGTGTAGCCGTCGTTTGTGTTGCCAAACTATGATATGTGTCCATTGGATGTGTTGCACACCTCCTGTGTCGCCGTCCTCTCGTAGACCAATGTTGCATCAAATTCCGCAAAGGCTGCCTGATAGCCAGCCGCGTCCCAAAACTCAGTTATTGAGTCAGATAAGGCACCCTGATGAAATGAAACACTCGAGTGGCCCCATCGATGGCGTCAGTGATCCCCCTTCCGTTGCACCTGTTCTCTTCCCGCCGATGACCCCAGCTCATATAAGGTCACCACGCGCCGCGTGGGCTTGGTTGCGCCCTCGGCCTGCCAGTGGGCAGCACTATGCTCGTGGTCTTGATGCAACTGGGGGAGGTGGCCGTCCTCGTCACTAGGGCTGGCGTCTGCCGAGTCCGTGACGGAGAGGCTCGTGATGGTGGTCGCGTATCTGCATGGGAAAGTGTCGCCGTCCGACTGGGTGATGCGAGAGAAGGGAGGCCGCACTTCCTCGCGTGTCCCAGCCTCGTGGCCCTCATCGCTGAAAGCCAGAACGCACTCATCGACATCGCTGTGGCTGTGGATCTGGTTGTCCTCCGCGAGATGACGCATGGAGACAGCACATTGATCTGGTGGGCAATCGAGCTGGACCCAGTCAGTGTCTTCAGCCATGGGGGGAGGGAGTTGGGGGAAGGGAGGGGGGAAAGGGGCGAGCCAAGCTCGCATTTTGGGGGCCCCCTCGCGAGTTCCCGCGGAGTGCGCCTCTACCCATGACGACAGCACGATGCGCATACCAATATTACTCTGTGGCTTCTCGGCTGCGAGGCCAGGAAGTAAATTTCCGGTTCGGCGAGAATTTGAGACGAAGACGGCAAAAGAAGCTGTGCGCTTTTGCTTTTCCTCCGCCCTCGCCACAGCCGCCAAGAACGCTCTCTGTCCACCGCCGTCCAGCCCATACAGCCGTGCACACGATACCAACACGTCTGTGAGCACCGTTTCGCAACGCAACAGCCTGCCTGCCCGCCGCCAAGAGATAAGTCGGCAGTGCAGCGAGTGACTGACGCCAAGGAGACGACCAAGGAGGAGAGGCCACCGCTGACACCCGAGATTGATAAATCGTCAGCTGGTTGGCCACAATGCAGTCCATAGCCCCGATACTCGACATGGCCGACAGGGTCGGCAACGGCATCACGCGTCTGATACCAACGCACACGGACTTTGCCGCCCACACCCTCTTCGGACTGGACTACGGTAATTAAGTCAGCCAGCCACACACTACTTGCTGTCTCTCTCAGTTGGTCACGGGTCATATGCCGTGGTGTTGTGTTGATATGGTGTGTGTGGCCTGATTGATGGATGGATGCAGAGAATGATAGCACGTCGGCCGACGGCACCAACGCCAACACCGACGGCACCAACGCCAACACCGACGGCACCAACGCCAACACCCAGGGCACGACTCAGGTCATGACCACCCTCACTTCGCCTTTCCTTGAGGCCTTTCTGAGGGTCAGCCAGGCCGCCAACACACCCGACAGCCCCAACCAGCAGCCCAACCAGCCGCCCCACCCGAGAGCCCCGGCGGAGGAGGCCAACAACCCACCCACACACAACTCCCACCCCCCCAACAACCGCCCTCCTGCCACAGCGAGCGACGGCAGCAGTGCCACCGCCGGACCCGTCGCGCCCACCGTGCAGGACAGCCAGCCTGCCAACGAGGGCCGTGACGAGGGTCGGGAGGCCGTAGTCAGGGTTGGTGAGCACAGAGGAGAGGGGGGAAGGGAGAGCGAGGATAGTGAGAGCGACATGTCGGAGGGTTGGGAGAGTGAGGAGAGTGATAGCGAAGTGTCAGAGAGTGAGGAGAGTGAGTTTAGCAGTGAGGAGAGCGACAGCGACGTGTCGGAGGGTTGGGAGAGTGAGGATAGCGACAGCGAAGTGTCGGAGGGTTGGGAGAGTGAGGATAGCAGTGAGGATAGTGAGAGCGACGTGTGGGAGACAGAGTCAGCCCCCTCCGGCTACAAGCACCACCCCGACGAGTGCTTCCCGTCCCCCAAGGACGCCTTCAACGCCTAGTAAGCCAAAACGCACACCTCACTGACACACCATCAAAAACACCTTCTATGGATGTGTGTGTGTCTCCCCTGTCTGTCTGTCTGCCTTGTCATGCAGCGTCAAGCAGGCTGCGTTTGAGCGTTCCCTGTCGCCGGAGGGCCGTCACGAGTCGCCCCAGCAGCGCTACGAGCAGAGCGTCCCTGCGGAGGAGGACCGCCTCATCATCGAGGCGGGCCTCAGCCGCGAGAGCTTCGACTCGATGTAAGGGGGCGGGAGTCAGTCTTTCACTGGCCTGCAAACACACGAGACACCCCCACATCCATGTGTGTGTGTGTTTTTGTGTGTGTCTCTCCTGTGTGTGTGTGCAGGGTGTTGTTGGGGGCGTACGCTCTCTGGGAGAGATAGAAGGCCGCAGGCCGCTCCGAGCAGTCGTCGGAGCACTACTACTATGCTGTCCTGGCTGCCGAGAGGGAGGCACTCGCGATAAGCTACATCAAGAAGATCCAGCGCAGCCGCCTGGCCTCCCGCACCTCCCGCACCCCAACAAGTGCCTGATGTGTCCCTCCGTCAGTGGGTCGGTGGTGTGGATGGGCCGTAGACCAGTGGACCAGTAGAGTTGGTTGGTTGCCGAGCAGACGGTTGCAGAGAGAATGATATATCCTAGCCAGTCGAAGGAGTGTGGTGGTGGTCAGCGGTGGACAGGAGTTGAGTCTTTATCCATCGCTGACTACATTTTATATTCTGACGGCGGTGAAGACACAGAGACACGCGGCTGACTGACTGACTGACTGACGGACCGGTGGGATGTTTTTCAATGTGAATGTGTACACTACCCATGGCCCACACACGGAACTAAAGTCATGCCGCCCCATGTGAGTGCACTGCGGCACACCCATCCCATCAACACGTTAGCTAATTGAATCCCACACACTCCAACATACAGTCAGTCAGTCAGTCGTCTTCACACAAGCCTACCTGGCCGCTCCGCTGCCCATCTCCCTCCCGTCTCAGCCTCCAATAACTGCATGCTGCCCCTCTCTGGTGGCCCGTCCAGCGGCTTATGCAGATGTGGGTGGGTCGGTGCTGCCCACACCACTGGCCCGAAACGTCACTGCTCGTCCTCGGCCCTGGATGGATGGATGGATGGACGAGCAGTGACGGCGGTTGGGACACTTCATACGACCAACACATCTGCAGACACAACAAATCCATGCCACGAGATCTTGTATCGGTTCCTCAATTGTCCATACGCACACACACAGATGTCAGTCAGCTGTGCACATCACAACATCACGTCAACGGGCCAAAATGACACACACACACACACACAGGCACCATGGTGTCTCTCTCTCTCTGGCCAGACCCCGATCAACTAATTCGTAGCTACCGCCCGTCTGCCTCCCCGGCCGATGGGCGCCGCTCGTGTGTCACATGCGGCTTTCGTGTTGGCGACTGTAGTGGTGATTAAACGGATGTCACCCTCTCCGGGCTGCAAACACGACAACATGCCCACATGCTTTCTTTCAGAAAGGTCATTCGTTGTCGATATGTCTGTCTGTCTGTCTGTGTGTGGTATGTTCACAGCTGTGAACGAGATAGCTACCGGCAGTCCAGATGGCCGAGGCACTTGCAGCCCTTCATGCCACAGGGCTGGCCCTTGCTGCCTTTACCGCACTTGAAGTCGAAGGCGGTGCACCCTGTGGACAAACATACGCACACACACACACACACACACACATCTCGATGTCTTGTGTGTGTTTGTGTGGGTCGTGTCGTGCTGTCCTTCCTCGACGTAAGCTAGCTTATATCGCGTAGCTTATGCGGCTTTCCCGGCCTGAGGACATACATGCAACACACGCCACATGCAGACACACACAGACATGTTTGTGTGAAGGGGTATACAGCTATACAGGCGTACCCGCATCTGTTGGGTCCCCAGCAGTAGCACGTTTGCACCTTCCCCTCGCCGAGGTCCGTGCCCCGGCCACACTCCTTGAACTCGCCATCGGGCCCCATGAAATCCCCCGCAGGACACAGGTGACCCTTATCGATGCAGGCTGACACAACATCACACACAGACAGACAGACAAGGCGACACAGACAGGTCTGTGGGATCGTCTTGTTTCATCGTTTTTTGTCGACAAGCAGCACAAGCTTACGCTCTTGGTCTGAGCCTGGTTCTGGTGCCTTGGCCCTCTCGGCCGCTAGCTTCTGCCGGCGCCTCTGGGCCTCCTTCGCGGCCAGCTCCTGCTGACGCTGCTCCTCTTTCTGCCGCTGCCAAGCCGCCGCCGCCGCCGCCGCCGCCGTCGCTATGATGATACCACACACACACACACACAAACACACACACTCATCCATGTGGTCATGTCCTATGGATTGACTTACCGGCATACACAATTGGCTGGTGGTCACTGTCTGTTGCATCAGCCCGGGTCTTGGCCATGAGGTTCATCATCTGCCGCTCGGCGCTGTCGATGGTCTCTAGTGCTATCTTGCCCATTTCCTCGGCTGTCTGGCCCATCACGAGGGAGGTCTCGCGCATCGTCCTGGCCATCTCGTTGGCTGCCTCGTGCATCTTGAGGGACATCTGGTTCATTGCCGCAGCCCCCGCCATCATGCTGCGGCCCATCTCCACCTGCTGCTGCACCAACGACAGCACACCTGCACACGCGCATACGTCCATCCATCCCAATGCGCAGATCTGGCCGTGAATTACAGTACACCTACGCGCGACGTACCTTCGCGGGCCCTATCGAATTCCGCACCAGCGCCGGGTGTGGCGAGAATGACAGCCAGCACGAAGCAAAGCGCGGTGCGCTTCATGGTGGACGTTCGCGCAAGCTCTCCATTCGTAAACTTGTAAGTTCACAAAGTGCGTCGCTCCCTCTAGCTGCGAATGTCGGATCTGTCGGCGTATTCCCCGCCGACCGATGCGGACGACCCGCTCGAGTTCCAAACGGTCATGAGGAATATCGTCGAGGGGGCCGCGTCCACCATGCGGTCCTTCTTCACCAGCGGCACCACCCAGACCTCCGAAGAAGCGCCGCCGCCCACGGAGCCCTCCTACCAAAACACAAACAACACCTACTTCCAGCAGCGGCAGGAGATCATGCAGCAGGTCACAGCCAATTGCACCGGCGGCAGCGGCACACACAAGCCGCGCAGCAACCATTACGGAGATCTGGTGGTCGGTTACCGTGGTGGTGGTGGCGATGGGGCGAGGGAGGGGCTGTACGGAGGCGGTGCGCGTGTGAAGGGCAAGGGCGGGCTGGATGTGTCGATTGCGGAGCGGAGGGGTAGGCGGCTTGTGGTCACGGCCAACAAGGAAGATGATGGTAGGTTTCTCGATATGTGGAGGGATGGATGGATGGAAAGATCTGTGCACGCGTGTGGCGTGGCGCTTTCTTTTCTCACCCCTCCTGTCCTGTCTGCATTGCATTGCATCTGTGTGTGCTGTATGTATGGGTGCGTTTGTTTGTGTTGCGTTGTGTTGTGTTGTGTGCAGGTTTGTGCAAGTCGACGTTTCGGTACGCGGCCATGCCCCACGCCCGCATCTGTGTCGATAGCGTGGAGCAGCTGCCGTCCGTCAACTTCAGCCGCATCGTTTGCGGAGATTTCAAGTACACACCACACCCACACCACTCCCACACGCCATCCCACCCCTGTGTGTGTATCCTCCCCCTCTGCTCTCTGTCCTCTGTTAGTGTGCGTTGTTACGGCCTGCGTCTGAATGACGTGCGCGTGCCCATCCGGAGCACCACCAAGGCGCTCAAGATCCAGGTGGTGACTTCCCATGCATCATCACACGCCACAGACGGCGACCCCAACACCCCCGGCACAACCACAGCCACAGCCACAGCCACGGCGGCACACACTACAGGCTCAGCGCAGCTCAAACCGGACATCCAGCTGCTCCCCAACATATGGAACGACCTCCAGGTACCGGTGCGATGGATGGATGGATGCGGCACACCCATTGCGTGTGTGTGTGTGTCGTGTCGTTGTGTGTGGTGTGGTGTGGTGCAGGTAGCCTTAGGTTTGAAGGAGGAGGAAGACACGCCGCCCGAGAAGATCGGCGTGGACCACCCCTACGCCGACATGATCACCCGCGCCGGCAGCAAGGGCTGGGGCGCCATGGCCAAGACCGTCAAGGACCTGCCCACCTACCAAATCAAGATCCCACTCGCGCAATTCGAGCACATGACCAACGAAAGTAAGGCACCCACACCGACCAATGTGTGTGTGTGTGTGTGCGTGTGCGTGTGTGTGGACAATGGAATGCCGATCGATGTAGGTACGATGACGCTGGCATTGCGTCCGGTCGATGCGTATGAGGAGGCCATGGCCAAGGACTACCCCGAAGAGCTCCGCTATGAGCTAATGGAGTGAGAGGAGGGAGAGTGGCGGGAGGGGAGGGGAGGGGCACCTGGGCAGAGAGAGAGAGGTGTGTGTGTGCATGTGTGTGTGTGGTGTCGTGTGGGGTGTGGGGTGTTAGGCGTTTGGAGGAGGCCCAGGATGAGTCGAAGCCCAAGATCACGTTCCGCATCCAGATACACGACCGGGTGGGTAATCATGGCACACACACACACATATATTCAACCAACACGACCGTGCAAATCTTTCTCTCTCTCTGTGGCCTGTCTGTCAGGGCGTCATCGACATCGAGAACCCCCACACAGGCCAGAAGCGCAAGTACGGTGACAGACACACGGACACACACACAAAAGACAGACGCATGCATCGCATCAGACCACACCCCATCCATCCATCCATATGTCTGGCTGCAGTATGTACGTGTGCGACCCAGAAGACCCGCTCGACACGGCCCTGGGGGAGCTCGTCAACGCCAAACCCGAATGCATGGACAAAACCAACATAGCCCGACAGGCCAACGGGTGGGTACCCATCCACTCACACACACACCCACACCCATGTGTGTGTGTGTGTATGTGTGTGTGTGAGCAGGTGCTACATCATGTTTCAGCAGCGTTTCACGATTAGCATGGTTGAGAGCGTGCCAGGCACGGGTGTGGGTGTGGGTGTGGGGGGTGGGGTGGGGGAGGGGGGCTCCCGGTTCCTGATAGTCACTGACCAGGGGGGCCACCGCCGACGTCTAGAGAATCTGATGTACGGGTGAGTGGTGGGTGGATGGATGGGGTGGAGGGGTGAAGGGGTTGGGAGCGAAGAGTCGAAGACATAGACACACAGAGATGGATGTCCGTGTGTGTCTTTGTGGGGGTGTGTGTGTGGTTCAGTACTCCTGACCGTCCGGACAACGCTGAGTTGATGTACGCCCGGCCCGTCGACCTCACTGCCCAAATGCCGCCCGAACCTATAGGCACGTCATACACACACACACACACAGAGAGAGAGAGAGAGAGAGCGAGCGCGGTGTGACGCATTTCGACCCTCTCTGTGTGTCCCTCCGTGTGTGTGGTTGGCCAGTGTCTGGTGCTGCTAGTGTTTCTGGGCCAGTGGTGCACAGCCCCGCCTACGTGTCGGGCTACGCTGCATATGGCAACCCCTACTACCCCTCCCCTGCTGCTGCTGCTGCAGCCATCGACCCATCCACCGCTGCAGCGGCAGTGGCAGCAGGCATGCCGCAGTACCTGACCATCACGCAGCAGCCGCACCAGGCCATGGCCGCCCCCTACCTCACACACACGGGCATGGGCATCAACACTGACCAACAACCACCCCAATACAGCATCAGCTACCCCAATCAACAGCAGCACCAACAGCAGCAGCAGCAGCAGGCATACACATCATTCCCACAGGTGAATGAAGCGATGAAGGGGAGAGGGAGGGGGGGAGAGAGGGAGGGAGGGAGGGAGGGAGAGAGGGTCGGCCTGCCTGGTGTATGGCCATATGTATGTGTGTGGGCAATGTGTGTGCGATGGATGGATGGATATGTCAACAGGGAGGCGTAAGTGATTTGTCGATGGCGTCGCTGCCCTACGGCTACCCCGGCTACCCCGGCGCCCCCACGCTGCACCAGCCCACATACCATTCGGCCACACTCGTGGCCGCACCCACCGCAGCAGCAGTAGCGGCGGCCTCTGCTGCAGCAGAGGCTGCCGAGGCAGCCGCAGAGGCCCTGCCCGTCAAAGTGGACCATGACGGTGGGTACCCTCACTCTGCACACGACAGACACAAAGACATCCATATGGCTGTCTGTCTATGGCTGGGTTTGTGCAGATGAGGATGGGGAGGGAGACGGGGAGCGAGAGGGCGGCATGGACGACAGGCAGGACACCACACAGCAGCAGCAGCAGGCATACCAGCAGCAGCAGCCGACACAGATGGGCGCCTACTCGTCCCTCTCCCCTGCCATTGGGCCCTTCGGGCCCATTCCCATCGCACATGTGCCCATCTACGGCCAGCCCCAGCCCTTCTACCAACACCACCAAGACACCACCACAGCCACAGCCACAGCCACAGCCGCTACACTGGCCAGCCACACCCAGGCAGCAGCAGGAGCAGGAGCAGGAGCCGCCCCATCCTCCACTCAGTTCGACTGGGCGAGTGCGGCACAGGAGGTGGTTGCGGGTGGGATGGGAGTGGGTGGTGTGGGTGGTGTGGTTGGTGGGCTGTATAGCTATGGCACAGTGCCATCGACGGTGGGCGGGGGCTATAGCTACCCCGTGTACTCGATGACCACTGCTGCTGCTGCAGAGGCGGCCCCGGCCGCCGGCGGGGCTTCCTACTCACACGAGGCGCAGACGCAGGGGCAGTACACACAGGTCGGTGCCCAACACACCACACCCAGCCCCCACACACGAGGCACCATCTCTCTCTCTCTCTCTCCCCCTCTCTCTCTCTGCTGCTATAAAGGCCTCTGCAGAGAGCATCGCAGCGGCAGTGGCGTCCAGTAGCAGCTATGCGGGTGCGGGTGTGGGAGGAGGGTATGCCGGTGGTGTTGGAGTGCCGACCCCTCTGAGTGCAGGGGGCCCCGGGGCCGCCATGGCCATGACGGGCATGACGGACATGCAGATGCAGCAGATGCAGGCCGTAGCGACGTCATCGCAGCAGCAGGGGCAGGGACAGGGGGAGGCCAAGACGGCGGCGGGTGGGGGCAAGACCACTTCTATCAACTGATGGACACACACACACACGGACACACACATGAAAATGGTAGCCATAGTGATTGCTGGTTTTGCTCAAGAAAGAGGGAGGGAGGGACGGGTGGGCGGGGCGAACGATGCGGCCGTGAGGGGAGGGATGCGTGTGAGGCATGTGGTGGGTGTGGTGGGTGGTGACTCATGCATCTAGCAGCTCACTTAGCAGACGGTAGCGATATCTTGACGATTGATTGGACTGACCGACGGCCGGCCTGCAAGACGGGGCGCGCACAGCCAGCCGTGCGCTTGATGTGCAAGCTGCCTGCTTGCATGTGTGTGTGAGTGTGTGTCGTTAGCTGCCTGCCTGGCTGCCTGGATGGATGGATGGATAGACGCGATCACACGGGGTGAAGGGTCATCGTCCAGCAACCAGTGAGTACATTCAAGTAGGAGCGCTAGCAGCGTCGACCGGTCCATGCACAAAGATCCACACACATGGATACTCGCACGCACAGACAACCAACCGCAGTCAAATCTCTCTCTCTCTCTATTTTCTGCCGCCTGGCCTGTCTATCATACACACACACGCACCCAAAGACATTCCATCGAGTTGCCGTCCATCGTCTGTTTCTCTGCTCAGCCCCGTCCGCACATACACAGACGGTGGGCTGGCTCCTCCGCTGACACACTGGTCTGAAAAACACACACGCGCGACTCATGGACACCCACCAGGCACGCAGGCAGCCACACTGACCAGCATAAACATCCCCCAACACACACCACACCCGACAGCAGCCAACAGTGAGTCTGGGCGGCTGCGTCTAGCAAAGCACTTCAGGCGTCGCGACGTGCGTGGAGACAAGACAGCACTCGCCCAACGACAGCCAACCAACGAGATGGGAAGAGAGATGCGTAGTCACCAGAAAACGAATGGCGGCCTTTGACAGGCAGGCAGGCAGGCATACTCGACATGCGCGACACGATCCCACTCGCTGACGCCAAAACTGATGGATAGAGTGAGATAGATGCTATAACAAACACATGCATTGTCTGTGAGCGTGGATCGAGTCGCAGTCACAGCCAGGCAGCCAGGCAGGCAGGCAGGCAGCACTGGTCCATTTTCCGCCCCTCCCTCCTGACGAGTGACGGTCTCTCGCCATGTCAGAGAGACCACCAAGCGTCAGAGGAACCGGCAGCCAACGAACCAGCGCGTGCCAGCCAGAAGGTGCGATGGCCAACAGTCGGAGTCAGTGTCACGTCACGCAACTTTGCATAGTGCGTGTGCATGTGTGAGTGTGTAGTGGGCGTCTCTCTGTCTGTCTGTACTGGGCTTGTTCGCTTGCCTTACGATGGCAGCTTCGTACGGAGTGGTTCGATCGTACATGCGGCCACACACACAGACACACAGACACAGAGAGAGCTCGTAAGCGACACAGCACCAACCAACACGAGTAGAAAACGAACGAGGCAGATGGCCAGAGCATATAAGAGACAGCCCAGCAAGTAGTGTGTGCGGTGCGCATGACATGACATGACTGACGTGTGGCAGGCAGGGCGAATGAATGGATGGATGGGGCCTATCCATCCAGAGGGGTGGGGTGGGGTGAGGTGGGTCGGTCAGCTTACGCGGACGTATTTGTGTTTGCTGCGGATGGTCTTGTCGTAGCAGTTGATGCCCTCCATGATGACCTTCTTGGCCTCCTCGGGACCAAAGAAATCCTCCACAGCCACCTGACGTCATACACATGACATGTGCCATCCATCCATCACACACATACCACACAGAGATGCAGACAGACACTGTGTGCTAGCTACGTGTGGGTCGGGTGTGTGCGGTGAGCTGGCTGACTGACTGACTGACCTCTTTGTTTTCGTTCTTCTTGTAGTCTGCATTCAATGCATTGGGCATACATAATCAAATCACAAACACAGATAGATAGATGGTATGGCTGTGGTGCGTGTGGCGGGTGGGTCTGTCTGATTGATTGTAGCACCGCACGCACCTTCGAAGAACCTTTTGATTTCCCTGAGCCGGTGGGGGGCCAGCTGGGAGATGTTGTTGATCTCACGGTACTCTACACACGTTCACACACACACACACACACACACAGAAACATACGCCGACTGCTGTGTATGCCTTTTCCTGTATCTATCAGCTGCCTCCCCTCACCGGGGTCATCAAGGTGGATGCAGATGATCTTGTCGTCCTTCTCGCCCTGATCTGCACACACACACAGACAGACACACTAGGCAGAAATCCGGCCACAGAAACGACGCCAGTCAATGGCCTCTGGCTGACCAAGCATGTCCATCATGCCGATAGGCCGCACCCTCAGAATGGACAGAGGCACCACAGGCTCCTGCATCAACACCAGCACGTCCTGCACCAACCAGACAGACAGACAGACAGACATGTGCCTGTGTGCATTCCAGCATCCATGTGCTCGTGACGCCTGCGCTCACGAGAGGGTCGTGGTCCTCCCCGAGTGTGCGAGGGATGAAGCCATAGTTGGCGGGGTAGATGACTGACGAGTACAGCACGCGGTCAACAATCAACAAACCGGAATCTGACCCACCACCCACCACCAACACAAACACACAGCACCATCAGAGAAGGAAATGGCGCCGCGCCCGGCTGTGCTGCCCCCTTCCTGCCTGCCAGCCTGCCTGCCTGGTTGTATGTATAGTCGTCGTACTGACTGTACCTTTGTCTAGTTCGTATTTGACCTTTGACCCCTTTGGTATCTCGATGACGCAGTAGAACTCGTCAGGCACCTTGTCGCCGATGTTGACGTCGTGCCACGGGTGAGTCGTCGACGCTGCAAAGCAAACACAACACACATACAGCAGCGCAGCACACAGGCAGCAGCATCATGACGGGCTGATCTCTCTCTGCAGCGGCTTACACATGGTGGTGGCGAAGGACGGATCCGCTGGGCGCTTGATGGTGCAGAAGAGAACGCAGTGCAAACGGAACGCCAGCCGGGCAATGCTTGTGCTCGCGCCTCGCGGCTTAGCTCGCAATCGCACGACCCTCTCTCGTCTGATCTGCTGCTCTAATGGATGCCGAGGCAGAGCTCGATGACTTTCTAGGCGAGGACGAAGACCAGGAGCTGGAAGATGCCGAGGAGGATCTGGGCAACCTCATGGACGAGGGCGGGGAGGGCGAGGAGGAACAGGCCGGCGGGGAGGGCGGCGGACGGGACGCAGAGGTGCACCCGGAGGGACAGGTGCCCGATACTGAGGCGAGAGAAGTGTAAGGAAGTCGTGCGCATGCAGGAATGGAAGGAGGGAGACGATGTGGATATATGCCTTGTACATATGGCTTGTGGATGTGTGTGTGGATGGGTGGGTGTGCAGGAAGGACAAGATGACGAGTCCCTTCATGACCAAGTTTGAGAAGGCGCGGGTCATCGGCACACGAGCTCTTCAGATCAGGTGGGTGGGGTGGCTGCGCCGGTCAGGGAGGCACAACACCCTCACAGACGGACACACAATCAGGCAGACCCAGTCCCGCTCTCTCTCTCTCTCTCTCTCTCTCCCTCTCTCTCTCTCTCTGCGTGTGTGTCTGTGTGTCTGTGTTTGACATTGGTCAGCATGGGTGCGCCCATCACAGTGGACGCCGAGGGCGAGACCGACCCGTTGGTGATAGCCGAGAAGGAGCTCATGAGCAAGTCTATTCCCTTCGTCATCCGCAGGTGGCTCCCCGACGGCACTTACGAGGACTGGACCATCAAGGAACTCCACATCGACGGCATCTAAACAGTTACGCACACAAACAGATGGGTGGGTGGACAGTCGCTGCGTGTGATGTGATGTCCTTCGCGGTTCGCGGCGCATGAGAGAGAGAGAGAGAGGGGTGTGGGTGGTGTGGGTGGTGCGGTGTTGTCAAGAGCTGTCCTGTCTTGGATGGTGTGTTGCTGCTGTAAGGCGCCGGATGCCTGGATGACATCCCTACAGGCGACCACCTGAAGGCCACGTGGCCAATGGGATTGTCATCCAGGCACTGCGCACACGGGGGAGAGAGAGAGAGGCGTGGGGCCGGCCGATCTTCTCTTGTGGCCTTCGCTTTTGGGGGGGGTCGCTTCGCTTGCACGTGAGTTCAGACGACAAGGGGGAAGGCAGATATGGATGTGGATACTGATGAGTATGTGCTGACTGACGCGTTCAATGTCCGTCCGTAGTCGCTTGATACATACAAGTGCTTGGTCTACCAGCCATCACACACGCACGCACGCACACACACACCCACACCACACACACGACACACACGTGTTTTCATGAGCCAGCCCTTCAGTCAGCATCCTCACACACCATCCTCACCTCAACCCTCCCGTAGCTAGCTAATGCACGCACACGCCACACTCAGTCTCACACGCCATCCATCCATTCACACACTAGCCCCCTCCTCCCCTCCCTCTCTCCCCATAGCTATCTATGTTGATGTGTGATGTCATCGGTGGTACTGCCCGCCAGGCGGCATTTTGGGGTAGCTGGGCATCGGCCCCACCGGCATCGGCACGCCCCCCATGGTCGTCACCACACGCGGCGTCGCCCCGGCCGCCTGTTGGCCGCTAGTGCCGGGCGGCTGCTTGCTCAGCGGCTGGCTCTGCGGCAGCAGGTTGCTCGGGGCAGTCGTCAAACCTTCTCCACCTATATCGGTCCTGACGAGCAGAGAATGGGAGATCCAACGCAGAGACAGAGAAGATATATGTGTCGGTGGAGTGGGGTGGGTGTTGGGTTTGGTCTCTCACTTCCTCGCCCCTGTGCTTGGTCCTAGGCTGAGCCGACCGCCCCCACCCCCTCCCCCACCCCCTCCCCCTCCCTGCTGCTGGTGCTGGTGGTGGTGGTCGGATGTAGGCAGCAGGCTGGTTTTGGAGCCCTGCTGCTGCTGCTGCTGCTGGGCGGCCTGGCCTTTCTTCTTCTGCTCCTCCAATACCCACACCTACACACACATCACACATGACAGATGTATATGGAGTGGAGATGAGATGGGTGCGTGTTGTGTTGGTGTGAAGTGTGGGGGCGGTTGTGCGTGTGTGGGGGCATGCATGGGGTGGATGGGATGGATGGTGTGCCCTGCCTGGCTCTGTAGTCGGTTGAGTGCTGCGGTGGTGATGCGCTTGTGGTCGAAGAAGTCGGCGGACAGACCCGTCAGCTTCTCGTGCAACACGGCTATCTCCTCCTGACATGAGAACACACAAATAGAAACATGGATGCCATGGCCTCCCTCGTGCGGTGTGGTGTGGTGGGATGGGAGGTGTGAGCGCGTTTTGCGCGTTTCCTTCAGGACTGACCTGTACGGCGGCTACGTTTTTGTTTCCGTCCAGCTTCTCCTTCTCGATGCGGCCCGACAACTCATGTAGACGACCGTCCAGATCGCCCAGCTGCATGACCACACACACAGCACAACACAACACAACACACAACAAACACATCACACCTCCATCCATTCCATTAGTTAGTCATTCCCCCCGTGTTGTGTGTGGTTGTGCTGTGGTGTGGTGTGGTGTGGTGTGCAGGTAGGTACCTACCTTTTGGAATATGCCGTCCTGCAGTGTCTGAGACTGTTTCTTGATCGCAGCTATCTCGTTGGTCGTCACGTTGATCGTGTTCTGCGTCTGCACCATGCCATGCCATGCCATCCATCCATGTCAACCCCCCCAACCACATCCCCGCGGCCACCTTAGCCCCCACTCCCACCTGGACTAGGTTGCTCTGTAGCTGCTGGTGCGTGTTGGTGTACGCCTTGTCGAGCGCCTTGAGCTCTGAGGCTTTGTAGTGCGCCTGCTGCTGGAGGGTGCTCAGCTCGCTCTCGAACTCGCCATCCGACGAGGCCTTGGTCTTGACCAGACTGCTGATCTCCGAAAAGGCGCTACCCAACTTCTCGCGCAGATCCGTCAGCTGCGACTGCACCCAACACACACACACACACAGAGAGAGAGAGAGAGAGAGAAGGATGAGGTCGTGCGAATCATGGTTTCTCGTCTCTCCTTTTGTGGACGGTGGCTGATGCCCACATGCGCACCTACCTGCATCTGTGTCTGTATGGAGGTGCTATGTCGTTTGAACTCGGTGAGGTCCTGGTTGTTGGCCGTGATGCCGTCGCGGATGATGCTCATCTCGGACAGCAGCTGGCTCAGCGACGCGCTGCTGCTGCTCTTCATCTCCGTCAACCACTGCGCAAACGACTGGACCGTCATATCAACATCCTGACCACCGCCACCACCAACACCACCAACGCCACCACCAACGCCCACAACACCTGATGCCGCCGCCGCCTGCTGCTGGTGCTGCTGGTGCTGGTGCTGGTGCTGGTGCTGCTGGTGCATCTGTGTCGGCTGTGTGTGAGAGGAGGGCGGGATGGGCGCCTGTGTGTGTGAAGTGGGTGGAGCGGAGGGATAGCTGTGGCCGGCGGGCGGTCCTGCAGGCTGGAGAGGCACACCAGGGCCGGGAGCGGGACGGCTTGGGCCCAGCTGAGGCGCCTGCATCCTCCTATGGTGTTTCCTATGCGATCGCGGCTCGCTCCCTTTCTGGACGACGGCCAGAACGAGATCTTCCGGCCAGCTTCCAGGCTCAGCTCGCACCGGTTCTTTTCGCATCCGTCCACCACGATATCTGATTGTATCCGCTGCCTGTGCGGGTCGCTCCGCGCCGTGATGGGTGAGTCGCCCGGCAGCAAGCTGCAGCACACCATCAGGATGCACATGCGCGGCAACTATCTCAAGGACCTCACGGCAGATCCGCGGACAGCCGGCAAGGAGCTGCTCGTCCTGCTGCACAGACATGGCGTCAAAGGTAGGTGTGTGAGCAAGATCTGACTGAGGAGAGAGAGATCTGGCAGCGTCGTGTCGGCGTGATGAGTGTGTGTTGTTGCGTTGCGTTGCGTGTGGTGGTCAGTGTTGGCTATGGATTTCGACAACACGATGACGACCGTTCATTCGGGCGGTGTGGTCGACCCGCATCATGACAGTCGGGGCGTACTCACGGTGAGGGAGGGAGGGAGGGATGGAGGAAGATGCATATGCCTGCCTGCATTGTGTGTGCCTGTGGATCTCTGCAGTCGCTGTCGGCTCCGGTTGCGTTGTTTGCGAATGATGCGCATGAGTTGGGTTTCCAGCTGTGTGTGGTGACCTTCAGCGACCCCAACAGCCGCACCGACGACAGCCAGCTGGCCGGCGAGTCGCTCGTGCAGGCCGTCATGCGCAATGCCAACGCCACAGTGCCCATACAGAGGGTCTACCCATTCTTCCCTAGGTAGGTGTGCACCGCACCTGACCATACCCCACACACCGCACCGAGAGAGGGTGTGTATGTTGTGTGTTGTGTGTGGTTATGGATAGGAATTACCAGGCCCCAGACGAGTACGGTGTGTTGGGGCTGTCAGGTCCGATGGCCAACAGCAAGTCGTATCACCTCAACCGCATCTGTGCCGACTTCGGCGTCAAGCCCAACGAGGTGTTCCTCATCGACGACGACGTCCGCAACTGCCTCGACGCCATGCGCGAGGGCTACCCCACCCTGTGGGTCAACTCGCCCGGCTTCGACTTCGACAAACTCAAGAACCCAGAGGAGGGCAGCTAGCTAACGTGTGGGTGGGTGGCCCTCCGGCATATGATATGTATGTAGATCGTCAAGCAAGCTGCGTAGATTTAGTAGTCAGTCGTTGTGGGAGGGAGGGAGGGAGGGAGAGAGGGAGGGAGGGCGGGTGGGTGGCTAGTTGGTTCGGGGAGGGTTGTGTGTGTATGGTATGCAGTTTGTTGCTCCATGGGCATGGCACACCTCTGCGTGTGTGTGTGTGTGTGTATTTGTTTGTTTGTAAATGAGTGGCAGGCTGCTGAAGGTGCTGTGGGTATATGACGTGACGTCATCTGCGACATCTGTGAGTGAGTGCAGTGGGGAGGGACACTGCAGCCTGTCGGGCCAGCCGGCTGTGGTCAGTGAGTGAGGGGCGCAGACCAGACCGAAACGCCACATTGAAAAGTGGTGGATCGGTCTCCTCCGCACCCTTCAGCCTGACTGCCTGGCCGACATCTGAAAGAGACTGAGATGCTGGCTTTGGCTTACAGTGGGAATCAAATGAAATCATTCATGTCAAATCCATCAGTGTCCGTACGCCGCGGCGTGTGTCCACACACACGTACGTTGCAACCAAGCCAGCACGAAACACACACACACACAGAGCACACAGAGAAGAGAGGAGAGGAAGGCATTGGGGGAGGGGAAGGGGAGGTCGCATTCCGACTGGACCGGACGGACCACCCAGCCACCCAGGCAGCTAGTCAGCCAGCCAGCCATGCAGTTAGCTGTACAGCCTTTCCCTGTTGCCGGAAGTCGCCGCATCTGAACACACACACAGCCGCGCGCAGGCACCCACCATTCTCCAGGCAGACGTCAGCGATTCGAGTGTCCCTCACCGATGACGTTCCGCTCATCCTTAATGGACGAGGCAAGCTGCTCCAACTGCCGTGCACACACACCACACAGCCACACAGCCATCCAATGGTGCGGCTGCAGTGCATTCATCATTCCTCCCCCACCGCCTCCCTCCCTCTTTGCTCACGGGTTGTATCAGCTGGTCTACGCTGATATCCTCCTTGGCCGCGTTGGCAAAGAACGACTGCAGCACACTTATCGGCACCTGCGAGTCTGCAGCGCACACACAACACATCACAACACAACACATCACAACACAGGACAGCCAACAAAGGCCTTCCAGCAGTCCACCCACCCATCACTCCCCGCAGCCCAGCCCCTCCCTCTGTGTCTCCCATCACCCACTTTGGCACTTGGCAGCGATCTTCTGCACACTCTCGGCCTGCTCGCCAGGCAGCTTCTCGGTCAACAAGTCGGTCAAGGCCTCCTTGCCCGACAGAGAGAGCTCGAATTTTTTCTGGAACCTGTGTGGCATCATGAGGAACTTCTCGAGCTCGGAAGGGATGTTGAGGGGGGTGAGGATGATGACCAGGAAGCCCCGGGGGTCGTGCACGGCCGTGTTGAAGACCGACTCGAGGTGGCGCAGGAAAACCGCACGCTCCGAGGAGGGAATGTGCTGGTAAAATTGAACCAGGTTGTCGAGAACAAGGATGGAGTTCTGCTCACACAGAGACACACACACAGAGAGAGAGAGAGAGTTGGGGAGATAGAGGGCTGTGGGTGTCTGTCTTTTGGAGAGGGAGGGAGTGGGAGGAAGTGGGAGGGGGGAAGGTGTTGTGTGTGTGTTGACCCGACCAGTGGTGCGCAGGCCATTGCTGGCCCGATAGACGAGTAGGTGTGTTCGGTGACGGGCAGGTAGCACATGGATTTGTTGTGCCTATGCGCGCAGTAACGCACCATCCAGTGCTTCCCTGCAGACAGACGTTGACACACACACATGGAGACAGACACACATGACACCTCTCTACCTCTCTCTCTCTCTCTGTATGTGTGTGTGTGTCTCACCAGAGGCGGCATTGCCACATAGGATGATCCCCCTTTGGTAGGCGGTGCTGTGCTCGTGATAAAACTTGGGGTTTTTATAGAACCAATCGACGTCATCGAAGGCCCTCTGCTGCGTCTTGGATGGCGTGTGGTCCGCCACAAATATGGCCTGCCGCTGATGCCACGCACCCTCCCTGCAGACACACACACAACACACCAACACACACACAACACACACACACACACAAGAGACACATGGTGGAGGTGTGAGTGGCGCATTGTGCACCAACGAACCAACCAAGAGTATATCTGGACGACCCTGTGTTCTGGCGCCTTGATGAAGCTCCTCAGCGCCAAGTCGATGAGTGCGATGTTCTGCTCGTAGGTGTCGCTGTGCAGGATGAGGCAGGCCTCCATGCTCTTGGTGGGCTCCTTGTGCTCCACCCGCACCTTCAACCCATGCTCCTTCAGGTCGATCAGATGAGAGCCGTAGTCTATCGTGCTGCAGTGCAGGGCAGTGCAGGCAGGGAGAGAGAGAGAGAGAGGAAAGACAGACAGACAGACAGACAGACAGACATGAGGAGAGAGAAGAAGAGACCGCACTGTCAGGAAGCCTCTGAGAGAGGGCTGGCTGTATGTGTCTCACTACTCACATTTTCAGATAGGCTGGGTCTCTCTGTGTTGACACAGGGGGGAGGGAGAGGGAGAGGGGGAGAGGGGAGGGGGAGACAGAAAGAGAGACAGGACAGCATGCCATGCCATGCCATGATGCACACATGCACCCGCTCATCCACCCACTGCAGCGCTGTCTGTCCCCGGGGCTTGGCTTGCTTACGTAGTCAGGTCTTGAGGCGATGATGACCGCATGTGGGGCGACATGGGCGAGGAACGCGCTCAGCTTGCCGTACAGATGGTCGCTAGAGTACACCTTGGCCGTATACATGTATGGCGATCGAACAAATCACACACACACAGCACAGCCAAACTCAGCGCCCCATCCACGAGAAGCGGGCTGATGGGGGAGCGCAATCCAGCGGCGAAAAACTCTTGAGGCTAGTGTAGCTGCTGCAGCCAAACAGTCTATCGTGATAGATAGGAGAAAGACGTGGAGATGGCTTCTGATTTTGGCCGCAATTCAGCAGGGTTTGGGTGTAGGGTTTCAAGACACGGAAGCTCGCAATCAAGCTCGCAGTCCGACGACGAAACTCGCGTCGACAAGCCATGGCGAAGCGAACCAAGAAGGTGTGACGGAAGAGATGGCTGGCGAGATCCGACATCTCGCGTGAGATTCGCCCCTCACCTCTCGTCTGTCCCTGTGCCTGCGTGTGGTGTGTTCAGGTTGGCGTCGTGGGCAAGTACGGGACCCGCTACGGCGCGAGTATCCGTAAGGTGGTGAAGAAGATCGAGATCTCGCAGCACCAGAAGTACATGTGCGACTTCTGCGGGAAGGTGCGCACACAGAGAGAGAGCAGGGGGATGGCGGGGAGGGATGGGGAGGGAGGGGAGGAAGGCAAGAGCTCTCGACATGGCATGGCGAGGCGGGCATCTCTAGAGCTCTCTCTCATATCACGTTGCCATGCCACAACGTTGCCTGTTGCTTGGCTTGTGTCTGTCCGCAGGTAGCTGTGAAGAGGGTATCCATGGGCATCTGGTTCTGCCGCGCTTCCAATTGTCAGAAGACCATCGCGGGAGGCGCATGGCAGAAAACGTAAGACAGCACCAGCCAGCCGTTTCCCATGCACTCACTCCCGAGATAATGTCGTGTGGTGTGTGGTGTGCGCGCGGGCTGTGTGTTGGTTCATTCAGCACTGCGTCGGCGATGACTGTGAAGCAGACCATCAACCGCCTGCGCAAGATGCAGCTCGAGACTGCCGACTGAGCGTGCGCCTGTTCGTGTCGTTTATGCGGACAGGTGCGCGGACATGGCGGCGGTGCGAGGGGTGTGGTTTCCTGACTGACGGCAGCTGGCTGAGATATGACGCGAGCGACTTTGACAGACAGTAGAGTGGATGGGATGGATGGACGACCGGACTGCGGATGGGCGTGTGAATGATGTGTGGCCATTCATTCAATGTGCCTCCCTCCCTCGTGTGAGTGAAAGGCAGGCGGCCATTCACTCCGCTCCACTCCACTCCCGCTCCACCACCTTGCCTGGATCGATCATGATATCAGCTATATATTAGATAGACAGATAGATACACACACACACGTATAGACGTAAACGAGTCAGTCCATCCGGAGTGAGTCCCCGGCCGGCCGTGAGTGCGTGAGCAAGACAAGACCCACACGCACCCACCCCGCCCCACCCATGGCCATGCAAAGCAATGCAATGCAGCACAACCATCCATCTGACAGTCCCTAGACTACCTGGCTAGGCAGCACCTTTCTTTGATCTGATCCAAGAAGAAAGAGGGCAGGCAGGCAGTCACGCAATCAATCACGATCGCAATCAATCAATCAATGCGTCATGCCTGTCATTGAGCTAGTGACTATACTGCAGCGTAGCAAGCAAGGGATGGACACAACACACACACGTACCGCACCGCATCCGACCGGACCCCACCCGCCTGGCCACCCACCACACTGTCTGCAACCTGTCTGTCAGTCAATACATACGCGAACATACACACGTTTTTAGACTACATGGGGACTCAGTCAGGTGCTGGTGCGGTGTTTGCGGTGCCTGTGGTGTGGTGTGCTCGCTTGCCAGCCGAGCCGAGCCGACCAGTCAGCTCAGCGGTATGTCTGATACCCACCGCCCAGCCAACCAGCCAGCCAGCCAGACGCCAAGGGCGTTTTCTCACGTGTCTGTCCATATGCAATCACTCATCTGTCAGTCAGTCGACTCGATTGGTGCCTACCTGAGAGTGCCGTCATGGTGAAAGATTGTATGGCTGGTCTGTCTGCCTGGCTGGCTCTCTCATCGATGAGTAGTGAGTGTATCGTATCTACAAGCAACAGTTCCTCTCTGTCGCTCCGTCGGCCGTCCTCGGGCCGGCCGGTCATTTGCTAGGAAGTATTTAAAAATGTGTGTATGCGCTGCGGAAACACAAGGAAAGAATCCAGCATCGAATTGTCGATATGGATGGATAGCCATACCCCTCATCCCCCCCCCTCCCCCTCCCGCCACCTCCCGCACACACACGCAGACAATGAACGGGCAAGGATCATGCCAAGTACCTGTCTGTCTGGGCCATCCATCCATCCATCGGATGCATATCTAAGCCGAGGGACGCACGTCGGCCTTGAAATGACCATGGAGCTATAGAGGGAAACACCCGAAGGACCCCACCCCACCCGGAAGTGAGAAAGTCCAAAGAAAGCAAGAAACAACAAAGGGCACCAAGAAGACACCCCGCCCTCTGTGTGTGTGATGTGATGTGATGTGGTGTGATGCCGCAGGTAAGGTAAGCCAGGTACACGTCGGCTTCCCTCCCTCCCTCCCTCCCTCCCACCTCAACTCCGAGCAAAAACCCCTCTCATACACGACGAAGGCAGGTATGCAACGCTCCCTACCTCAATCCATCCATCCGACCCCCCCTCCACCCACTCATCAAATCAGTGCACTCACTCACTGCCCTCACTATGCCGAACGGTCAACTGCCCCCCGCCCGCACACACACAAGTCTTGCTCTCTGTGGTGCACCACGGCGGGGAGCCAGCCAATGGATCGATCAATGGGTAAGGTATCTATCTACCAGATGAGCTCGGCCGTGGGTGGGTTTCTCGACGGACTGACGGATCTACATGCCCATGCCCCGCCAGCCCTGTCCAGGCCCCTGTTGCTGCCTCGGCCCGTGTGGCATCGGCGGCCCTCGCATGCCGCCGTTCATGTTGACCCCGGACGACGGCTGCATACACATGCCGGGCGGTCCACCACCAGCACCTTGGCGCATCTGCTGCTGCTGCTGCTGTTGGTGCTGCTGGTGCACGTGAGGAACACCGTGCATGTTGTGGCCATGGCTAGGGGGGCCGGGTGCAGGTTGAGATGGCGGCTGGAACTGCTGGGAGGGGGGGAAGCCGCCGCCAGAAGGACCAGGAGAAGGACCGCGCATGCCATTCTGGGGGTGCGGACCTGCTGGCCCACCGCCACTGGGCGGTCTCCCGCCGCCAGATGGTGCCGGCCTGCCCTCCCCACCCCCCACTGCACCTGTGCCGCGGCGGCCAGCAGGAGCACCGCGGCCAGCAGGAGCAGAAGGAGCACCGCCGCCGCTTCCGCCGCTTCCGCCGCCGCCACCGCCGGCCAGGGGTTGCGGGCGACCGGATTTGGAGGCGTCTTTCTGTCCCTCTTTCCAGAGGTCCTTCCAGAAGGACTTGACCATGTCCTGGACCTCGGGGCAGCCTTGGGGTAGGCGGGCGGACTCGTCGACGAGGCTGCTGACGAGGGCGCCCACACGATCCACCGCTGCCATGGTGGCCAAACTGATGGGAGGAGGATAGGATGTGCAAGGGAGGGCACAGAAAGAGCAAGTGTGAGAGTGAAGGGGTGGTGGGTGAGTGAAGCGGGTCACCCCCGCTACCAGCCCATTTACTTACCCTTCGATGAGATTCTTGGTCTGCTCCATGAAGTTGCTGCTCAGCTTCAACTGACCCTTTATGTCGGCAATGCGGCTGCAGACACACAGACACACGGACACTCACACATACACACAGACTCTTTCCATCCCCCTCTCGTCCAGCTCTGTGCTTACTTGAACAGGCGCTCCTTGTCCCTGTCAGATGCCGGTCGCCACGGCTGTCGCTGCTGGTCGAACCCGGGAGGCGCGGCTGCAGGGCCAGCACCCCTCCCACGCCCCCCACCCACCGCCGCAGGCCCCTGGCCATCCGCGCCCACACCCCGACCGAAGCCGCGCCCCATCATCCCCTGAGCAGCCGCACTAACAGGCACCCCCCTGCCCGCAGGCGCAACCCCTCGGCCCGCTGGGGCTGGGGCACCGCCACTCGGCTGCGGCTGCGGCTGCTGTCGGGACGGTAGCTCCGGGAAGTTTGTGCTCGATGCCAGTGGGGGGCCGCGCGGACCTGCACCTGCTGCACCTGGCCCTGGCCCGCCCCCCATTTCCCCACCAGCACCACTCCCGGGCCTCTGCTGCTGCCCCGGCTGCTGCACCATCCCCGGCTGCTGCACCATCATGCCGGGCGGCACACCGCCACCGGATGGCTGTGGCTGCGATGGCTGTGGCTGCGATGGCTGCTGCTGATGCTGCTGATGCTGCTGCTGATGCTGCTGGTGGTGTGGTCCGCCCATGCCGGGAGGGTCCCTCGGACCACCTGGCCCCCGCGGACCCACAGGGCCCATTGGTCCCTGTTCCCCGCCAGGCCACCCAGCCGCAAATGGTGTGTAGCTCGGGGGCCGGCCGATGTTGCCCGCGCCTGGCCCCGGCTGCTGCTGCTGCTGCTGCTGCTGGGGTTGTTGGGGACGCATCGCGGGTGGACTCTGATGCTGCTGTTGCTGTGTTCCGGGCAAAGGTCTCGAGAAACCGCCCGCGGTAGCCAGTGCCTGGGCAGGGGTGGGCACCGGCGTGTTGTTGAGCGCCTGGAACGGCACACCAGGAGGCCCGGTGGCAGACATCTGCTGCTGGTGCTGCTGGTGCTGCTGCTGGTGCTGCTGCTGCTGGTGTTGCTGCTGTTGCATGGGTGCAGTGGGTGGGTGTGGTGGTCGCTGCATGCCCGCGCCAGGGCCCGCCCGCTGTTGCTGCGCTGCCTGAGCCTGTGCCAGGAGCCGTTGCTGCTGCTGCAGTGCCTGCTGCTGCTGGATGTGTTGTTGTTGCTGCTGCTGCTGCTGCTGCTGAGGCGCCATCGGGCCCCCAGCAGGGCCAGTGGGCGGCGAAGCGAGTGGGCGAGGATGGATCTGCCCCTGCTGCTGGCCGCCAGGAGCAGGGGCTCCGGGTGCGGGAACGCCAGGTGGCACCATCGGCGACGGCCCCCGGATGGGTGCCTGTGCTGCCGGTGATGGCACCGGGCGCATCGGAGGGGCTCCTGCTGCTGCTGTGGGTGGCCGCTCGGGGACGTTGGGCGGTGGCATCTGCTGCTGCTGCTGTGGCTGCTGCTGTGGCTGCTGTGGCTGTGGCTGGTCGCCCGGGGTGGGCATGCGCCCGTTGGGCTGGGGATGGGGCTGGGATTGAGGGTGAGGCCGGGGTGCTGGCTGCTGCTGTTGCTGCTGCTGCTGTTGCTGCTGTCGCTGCGGCGGGCGCTGAGCCAGTGGCGACTGTTCGGACTCGGTGTCGTCCTCTTCCTCCTCCTCGTCTTCGTCCTCGTCGCCGTCGTCCATGTCATCGTCCGACGGCTGTGGGAACCTGGCCTGCTGCTCCTGCTGAAGCTCCTGCCGGCGCTGCTCCTCTATACGGTGCTTGGGGTCAGCGCCCCTCATGAGGTCTCGAGCGATCAACTGCAGCCATGCATGCAGACAACGCATCACATCGACAGCCGAGAGGGAAGCAGGTCAGGTGAGACAAGGAGAGGGAGAGGGAGAGGAAGAGGTGGTGGGGGGTAACTAACTAACGGGTTACGGACTGACTGACCTTGATGGCCTCGTAGCCGAATGCCCGGACGTTCTCGCGCAGCTCCGGCTTCGTCAGCCCGTCAACCACACACTCAGGCACTGACAACCAACACACACGACACAAACAAAGAGAAGGAAGAAAGCGTCGTCCGTGAACTGCTCTGCGTGGATGGGATGGGCAATGAATGGGTGTGCTGTGTTGTGCTGTGCTCACTTTGTGTTTTCATGAGGACGGCGCGCCGCAGGAACTCTACAGGTATGTCGGCGTCACCGTGAAGGTTGGGCCCGCCCTGCCCCTGCCCGCCGCCAAACACGCCGTTGGCCATCATCGCCTCCTCGCCCCCCCGCTGCCGCACAATCCGCTCCTGTTCATCATACAAGGCGCGCACCGGGTCGAGAGGCTCGCTCGGCTGCGAGGGCGGCTGCCCGGCACGACCCACTAGTGGTGGAGGGCCGCCCTTGCCCTTGCCCTTGGGCCGCGACTCGGGTTTCTTCTGGGTGTCTGGGTTGGCCTTCATGATGCCCGCAGACGCGTACGCGAAGGGGTCGTGCGTGGGGCCCTGCCGCTTGTCCTTGCCGGGTGGCGGCGATCCGCTGGGCATGGCCACCCCGTCGCCCCCCGTGTGACCACCGTGTTTCTTGCCCCTCTTCTTGCGTCCGGCCTGCATCTCCACAAAGGACCTCTCGTCGTCCTCCGACGGGGACCGCGCGGCGGCCTCGTTTGTTCGCTCGCGCCAGTAGTCCTTCTCGCGCGCCACCAGCTCGGTGTAGTCCACCTGCTCCTCGCCGTCGGGGGCCTGGTCGTCGGGCGGGATGACGGGAGTGCCGCCACTGCTGGACGAGGGACGGGCATTCTGACCAACACACAACACAACACGCCAGACGGGAGGGAATGGGTGTGGCGTAGTGGGGTGGGGG